TGACAAAAATTGAATGATCATTTAACTCTGGTTTTTATACACAGTTTAATCGTTTTTGTGACGTCTCTATCGTTTTGTTTCTCATAGAAAATACGAATTTAGGTGGATAGGGGGTGGCTGATTTATTATTTGCCTTGGAAAGTTTGTGTATCGAAAACAACGTTCCTATTCAAAACTGACTTAAGATAAGTGCGTTAAGAGTTTTAATGATTACTTCGTGTTGTATGGTGGTTTTAGATTGCGTTCCCAGACACTTTTAAGAAATTGGATCTCTTACGGGCTGGGTTATAGATATTATTTATTAGGTGTCGTAAATAAGATTTAATTATCTGGGAGATTTTTGTTAAATGAAGAATTTGTAAGTTTGTTTGTAAGTTTCTTAGGTTATTAGTTTGTTTGATTGTTTGTTAGTTAGTTTGCAAGTCTGTTTGTAAGTTTCTTAGTTTATAAGTTTGTTTGTTAGTTTGTTTCTTTGTTAGTTTGTAAGTTTGTTTGTAAGTCTGTAAGTTTGTTTGTAAGTTTCTTAGTTTGTTTTTTTTGTTAGTTTGTAAGTGTTTGTAAGTTTCTTAGTTTTTAAGTTTGTTTGTTAGTTTGTTTCTTTGTTAGTTTGTAAGTTTGTTTGTAAGTTTCTTAGTTTGTTTTTTTGTTAGTTTGTAAGTGTTTGTAAGTTTATTAGTTTGTTTGATTGTTAGTTTGTTTCTTTGTTAGTTAGCTTGTAAGTTTGTTAGTAAGTCTGTTTGTAAGTTTGTTTGTAAGTTGTTTGTTAGTTTGTTTGTAAGTTTGTTTCTAAGTTTCTTAGTTTGTTTGTTTCTTTGTTAGTTAGTTTGTAAGTTTGTTTGTAAGTTTGTTCATTTGTTTGTTTGTTAGTTTTTAAGTCTGTTTGTAAGTTTGTTTGTAAGTTTTTAAGTCTGTTTGTAAGTTTGTTTGTAAGTTTTTAAGTCTGTTTGTAAGTTTGTTTGTAAGTTTTTTAGTTTATTAATTTGTTTGATTGTTTGTTAATTTTTTGATTACTTCGTGTTGTATGGTGGTTTTAGATTGCGTTCCCAGACACTTTTAAGAAATTGGATCTCTTACGAGCTGGGTTATAGATATTATTTATTAGGTGTCGTAAATAAGATTTAATTATCTGGGAGATTTTTGTTAAATGAAGAATTTGTAAGTTTGTTTGTAAGTTTCTTAGGTTATTAGTTTGTTTGATTGTTTGTTAGTTAGTTTGCAAGTCTGTTTGTAAGTTTCTTAGTTTATAAGTTTGTTTGTTAGTTTGTTTCTTTGTTAGTTTGTAAGTTTGTTTGTAAGTCTGTAAGTTTGTTTGTAAGTTTCTTAGTTTGTTTTTTTGTTAGTTTGTAAGTGTTTGTAAGTTTCTTAGTTTTTAAGTTTGTTTGTTAGTTTGTTTCTTTGTTAGTTTGTAAGTTTGTTTGTAAGTTTCTTAGTTTGTTTTTTTGTTAGTTTGTAAGTGTTTGTAAGTTTATTAGTTTGTTTGATTGTTAGTTTGTTTCTTTGTTAGTTAGCTTGTAAGTTTGTTAGTAAGTCTGTTTGTAAGTTTGTTTGTAAGTTGTTTGTTAGTTTGTTTGTAAGTTTGTTTCTAAGTTTCTTAGTTTGTTTGTTTCTTTGTTAGTTAGTTTGTAAGTTTGTTTGTAAGTTTGTTCATTTGTTTGTTTGTTAGTTTTTAAGTCTGTTTGTAAGTTTGTTTGTAAGTTTTTAAGTCTGTTTGTAAGTTTGTTTGTAAGTTTTTAAGTCTGTTTGTAAGTTTGTTTGTAAGTTTTTTAGTTTATTAATTTGTTTGATTGTTTGTTAATTTTTTGATTACTTCGTGTTGTATGGTGGTTTTAGATTGCGTTCCCAGACACTTTTAAGAAATTGGATCTCTTACGAGCTGGGTTATAGATATTATTTATTAGGTGTCGTAAATAAGATTTAATTATCTGGGAGATTTTTGTTAAATGAAGAATTTGTAAGTTTGTTTGTAAGTTTCTTAGGTTATTAGTTTGTTTGATTGTTTGTTAGTTAGTTTGCAAGTCTGTTTGTAAGTTTCTTAGTTTATAAGTTTGTTTGTTTCTTTGTTAGTTTGTTTCTTTGTTAGTTTGTAAGTTTGTTTGTAAGTTTGTTTGTAAGTTTCTTGGTTTGTTTTTTTGTTAGTTTGTAAGTGTTTGTAAGTTTCTTAGTTTTTAAGTTTGTTTGTTAGTTTGTTTCTTTGTTAGTTTGTAAGTTTGTTTGTAAGTTTCTTAGTTTGTTTTTTTGTTAGTTTGTAAGTGTTTGTAAGTTTATTAGTTTGTTTGATTGTTAGTTTGTTTCTTTGTTAGTTAGCTTGTAAGTTTGTTAGTAAGTCTGTTTGTAAGTTTGTTTGTAAGTTGTTTGTTAGTTTGTTTGTAAGTTTGTTTCTAAGTTTCTTAGTTTGTTTGTTTCTTTGTTAGTTAGTTTGTAAGTTTGTTTGTAAGTTTGTTCATTTGTTTGTTTGTTAGTTTTTAAGTCTGTTTGTAAGTTTGTTTGTAAGTTTTTAAGTCTGTTTGTAAGTTTGTTTGTAAGTTTTTAAGTCTGTTTGTAAGTTTGTTTGTAAGTTTTTTAGTTTATTAATTTGTTTGATTGTTTGTTAATTTTTTGATTACTTCGTGTTGTATGGTGGTTTTAGATTGCGTTCCCAGACACTTTTAAGAAATTGGATCTCTTACGAGCTGGGTTATAGATATTATTTATTAGGTGTCGTAAATAAGATTTAATTATCTGGGAGATTTTTGTTAAATGAAGAATTTGTAAGTTTGTTTGTAAGTTTCTTAGGTTATTAGTTTGTTTGATTGTTTGTTAGTTAGTTTGCAAGTCTGTTTGTAAGTTTCTTAGTTTATAAGTTTGTTTGTTAGTTTGTTTCTTTGTTAGTTTGTTTCTTTGTTAGTTTGTAAGTTTGTTTGTAAGTTTGTTGGTAAGTTTCTTAGTTTGTTTTTTTGTTAGTTTGTAAGTGTTTGTAAGTTTCTTAGTTTTTAAGTTTGTTTGTTAGTTTGTTTCTTTGTTAGTTTGTAAGTTTGTTTGTAAGTTTCTTAGTTTGTTTTTTTGTTAGTTTTTAAGTTTGTTTGTTTCTTTGTTAGTTTGTAAGTTTGTTTGTTTCTTTGTTAGTTTGTAAGTTTGTTTGTAAGTTTCTTAGTTTGTTTTTTTGTTAGTTTGTAAGTGTTTGTAAGTTTATTAGTTTGTTTGATTGTTAGTTTGTTTCTTTGTTAGTTAGCTTGTAAGTTTGTTAGTAAGTCTGTTTGTAAGTTTGTTTGTAAGTTGTTTGTTAGTTTGTTTGTAAGTTTGTTTCTAAGTTTCTTAGTTTGTTTGTTTCTTTGTTAGTTTGTAAGTTTGTTTGTAAGTTTGTTCATTTGTTTGTTTGTTTGTTAGTTTTTAAGTCTGTTTGTAAGTTTGTTTGTAAGTTTTTAAGTCTGTTTGTAAGTTTGTTTGTAAGTTTGTTTGTAAGTTTTTAAGTCTGTTTGTAAGTTTGTTTGTAAGTTTTTTAGTTTATTAGTTTGTTTGATTGTTTGTTAATTTTTTGATTACTTCGTGTTGTATGGTGGTTTTAGATTGCGTTCCCAGACACTTTTAAGAAATTGGATCTCTTACGAGCTGGGTTATAGATATTATTTATTAGGTGTCGTAAATAAGATTTAATTATCTGGGAGATTTTTGTTAAATGAAGAATTTGTAAGTTTGTTTGTAAGTTTCTTAGGTTATTAGTTTGTTTGATTGTTTGTTAGTTAGTTTGCAAGTCTGTTTGTAAGTTTCTTAGTTTATAAGTTTGTTTGTTAGTTTGTTTCTTTGTTAGTTTGTAAGTTTGTTTGTAAGTCTGTAAGTTTGTTTGTAAGTTTCTTAGTTTGTTTTTTTGTTAGTTTGTAAGTGTTTGTAAGTTTCTTAGTTTTTAAGTTTGTTTGTTTCTTTGTTAGTTTGTAAGTTTGTTTGTAAGTTTCTTAGTTTGTTTTTTTGTTAGTTTGTAAGTGTTTGTAAGTTTATTAGTTTGTTTGATTGTTAGTTTGTTTCTTTGTTAGTTAGCTTGTAAGTTTGTTAGTAAGTCTGTTTGTAAGTTTGTTTGTAAGTTGTTTGTTAGTTTGTTTGTAAGTTTGTTTCTAAGTTTCTTAGTTTGTTTGTTTCTTTGTTAGTTAGTTTGTAAGTTTGTTCATTTGTTTGTTTGTTAGTTTTTAAGTCTGTTTGTAAGTTTGTTTGTAAGTTTTTAAGTCTGTTTGTAAGTTTTTAAGTCTGTTTGTAAGTTTGTTTGTAAGTTTTTTAGTTTATTAGTTTGTTTGTTAATTTTTTGATTACTTCGTGTTGTATGGTGGTTTTAGATTGCGTTCCCAGACACTTTTAAGAAATTGGATCTCTTACGAGCTGGGTTATAGATATTATTTATTAGGTGTCGTAAATAAGATTTAATTATCTGGGAGATTTTTGTTAAATGAAGAATTTGGTATTTAATAAGAATGCAACTTTTTTTAATAAAATGGAATTAATAAATGATTATGGCACCTGGGTGCGGTAGGTTACAATGTCTTTAATCTACTATAGAAACTAGTTAATTTCAAATGTTATAATTTTTTTTGCAAAATTCGTGCATCTGGATTCTTTACGAAAATATATTTAAAAAAAAAAAAAATTTTTACTTACCATTTTCTCGACATTTTTTTGTTGGACTAATGGGCATAACCGAATTTGGCGCATAACTCAAAATTTGCAAGTTTTAACTTTTAATCGTAAAAAGGCACAAAATGGCGGTGCTACTCCAACGCTACTCTGGAGTAGAACCGTCATTTAAGAAGATCCACATATGGAGGACGCAATTTTGGAACGTCTTACAAATAAAAGTTTAAACATGCAAATTTTGAGTTATGCCACTTTATTACTGAGTGTGAGATGTATTGAGGTGCCTATAAATATGACGAACCGCACCTCATTTGCACCTGAGCCGAGTCTTTTTTTTTCTCTTTAGCAATTTGAGCAAAATTTATTTAACTTTGAACCAAACTACAGATCAAATTGTTCATTTTTAGGCTAGTACAGTAGATAGCAATGAACAAATTGTAAATGGAAAATTACTGAGAAAACGCACAGAAAGACCTATACACGAAGTAAGATATCATGGCAAACTAAATTGTTATAGTTATCTTTTAATAGATTTTAATAGATTTTAATAGATTTTAATAGATTTTAATAGATTTTAATAGATTTTAATAGATTTTAATAGATTTTAATAGATTTTAATAGATTTTAATAGATTTTAATAGAATTTAATAGATTTTAACAGATTTTAATAGGTTATAATCGCTTTTAATAAATTTTAATAGACTTTTATACATTTTCTATAGATTTGAATAGATTTTAATGGATTTTAATGGATTTTAATGAATTTTAATGAATTTTAATGGATTTTAATAGATTTTAATAGATTTTAATAGATTTTAATAGATTTTAATAGATTTTAATAGATTTTAATAGATTTTAATAGATTTTAATAGATTTTAATAGATTTTAATAGATTTCAAAAGATTTTAATAGATTTTAATAGAATTTAATAGATTTTAACAGATTTTAATAGGTTATAATCGCTTTTAATAAATTTTAATAGACTTTTATACATTTTCTATAGATTTGAATAGATTTTAATGGATTTTAATGGATTTTAATGAATTTTAATGGATTTTAATAGATTTTTAATAGATTTCAATAGATTTTAATAGATTTTAATAGATTTTAATAGATTTCAATAGATTTTAATAGAATTTAATAGATTTTAACAGATTTTAATAGATTATAATCGCTTTTAATAGATTTTCTATAGATTTCAATAGATTTTAATGGACTTTAATAGATTTTAATAGATTTTAATAGATTTCAAAAGATTTTAATAGATTTCAAAAGATTTTAATAGAATTTAATAGACTTTTATACATTTTCTATAGATTTGAATAGATTTTAATGGATTTTAATGGATTTTAATGAATTTTAATGGATTTTAATAGATTTTTAATAGATTTCAATAGATTTTAAAAGATTTTAATAGATTTTAATAGATTTTAATAGATTTTAATAGATTTCAATAGATTTTAATAGAATTTAATAGATTTTAACAGATTTTAATAGATTATAATCGCTTTTAATAGATTTTCTATAGATTTCAATAGATTTTAATGGACTTTAATAGATTTTAATAGATTTCAAAAGATTTTAATAGATTTCAAAAGATTTTAATAGAATTTAATAGACTTTTATACATTTTCTATAGATTTTAATGGATTTTAATAGATTTTTAATAGATTTTAATAGACTTTTATAAATGTTCTATAGATTTTAATAGACTTTAATAAATTTTAATAGATTTTAATAGATCTTAATGGATTTTAATAAATGTTTGTAAGTTGTTTGTTAGATTGTTTGTAAGTTTGTTATTTTGTTTGTTATTCTGTCTGTTTGTTAGTATGTTTGTAAGTTTCTTAGTTTATTAGTTTCTTCGATTGTTTGTGAGTTTGTTTGTTTATAAGTTTGTTTGTAAGTTTGTTTGTAAATTTGTTAGTAAATTTGTTTGTAAATTTTTTTTGTAAATTTGTTTGTAAGTTTGTTTGTAAGTTGTTTGTTAGATTGTTTGTTTGTAAGTTTGTTAATTTGTTCTTTTGTTTGTTAGTTAGTTTGTTTGTAAGTTTCTTAGTTTGTTAGTTTATTTGATTGTGAGTTTGTTTATAAGTTTGTAAATTTGTTTGTAAGTTGTTTGTTAGCTTGTTTGTAAGTTTGTTAATTTGTTCTTTTGTTTGTTAGTTTGTTTGTTTCTAAGTTTCTTAGTTTGTTTGTTTGTGAGTTTGTTTCTTTGTTAGTTTGTTTGTAAGTTTGTTCTTTTGTTTGTTCTTTTGTTTGTAAGTCTGTTTGTTTGTTAGTTTGTTTGTAAATTTTTTAGTTTGTTTGTGAGTTTGTTTCTTTGTTAGTTAGTTTGTAAGTTTGTTTGTAAGTTTCTTAGTTTATTAGTTTCTTCGATTGTTTGTGAGTTTGTTTGTTTGTTTATAAGTTTGTAAGTTTGTTTGTAAATTTGTTAGTAAATTTGTTTGTAAATTTGTTTGTAAATTTGTTTATAAGTTTGTTTGTAAGTTGTTTGTTAGATTGTTTGTAAGTTTGTTAATTTGTTCTTTTGTTTGTTAGTTTGTTTGTTTCTAAGTTTCTTAGTTTGTTTGTGAGTTTGTTTCTTTGTTAGTTTGTTTGTAAGTTTGTTCTTTTGTTTGTTCTTTTGTTTGTAAGTCTGTTTGTTTGTTAGTTTGTTTGTAAATTTTTTAGTTTGTTTGTGAGTTTGTTTCTTTGTTAGTTAGTTTGTAAGTTTGTTTGTAAGTTTCTTAGTTTATTAGTTTCTTCGATTGTTTGTGAGTTTGTTTGTTTGTTTATAAGTTTGTAAGTTTGTTTGTAAATTTGTTAGTAAATTTGTTTGTAAATTTGTTTGTAAATTTGTTTATAAGTTTGTTTGTAAGTTGTTTGTTAGATTGTTTGTAAGTTTGTTAATTTGTTCTTTTGTTTGTTAGTTTGTTTGTTTCTAAGTTTCTTAGTTTGTTTGTGAGTTTGTTTCTTTGTTAGTTTGTTTGTAAGTTTGTTCTTTTGTTTGTTCTTTTGTTTGTAAGTCTGTTTGTTTGTTAGTTTGTTTGTAAATTTTTTAGTTTGTTTGTGAGTTTGTTTCTTTGTTAGTTAGTTTGTAAGTTTGTTTGTAAGTTTCTTAGTTTATTAGTTTCTTCGATTGTTTGTGAGTTTGTTTGTTTATAAGTTTGTAAGTTTGTTTGTAAATTTGTTAGTAAATTTGTTTGTAAATTTGTTTGTAAATTTGTTTATAAGTTTGTTTGTAAGTTGTTTGTTAGATTGTTTGTAAGTTTGTTAATTTGTTCTTTTGTTTGTTAGTTTGTTTGTTTCTAAGTTTCTTAGTTTGTTTGTGAGTTTGTTTCTTTGTTAGTTTGTTTGTAAGTTTGTTCTTTTGTTTGTTCTTTTGTTTGTAAGTCTGTTTGTTAGTTTGTTTGTAAATTTTTTAGTTTGTTTGTGAGTTTGTTTCTTTGTTAGTTAGTTTGTAAGTTTGTTTGTAAGTTTCTTAGTTTATTAGTTTCTTCGATTGTTTGTGAGTTTGTTTGTTTGTTTGTTTATAAGTTTGTTTGTAAATTTGTTAGTAAATTTGTAAATTTGTTTGTAAATTTGTTTATAAGTTTGTTTGTAAGTTGTTTGTTAGCTTGTTTGTTAATTTGTTCTTTTGTTTGTTAGTTTGTTTGTTTCTAAGTTTCTTAGTTTGTTTGTTTGTGAGTTTGTTTCTTTGTTAGTTTGTTTGTAAGTTTGTTCTTTTGTTTGTTAGTTTGTTTGTAAATTTTTTAGTTTGTTTGTGAGTTTGTTTCTTTGTTAGTTAGTTTGTAAGTTTGTTTGTAAGTTTGTTTGTAAGTTTCTTAGTTTATTAGTTTCTTCGATTGTTTGTGAGTTTGTTTGTTTGTTTATAAGTTTGTAAGTTTGTTTGTAAATTTGTTAGTAAATTTGTTTGTAAATTTGTTTGTAAATTTGTTTGTAAATTTGTTTATAAGTTTGTTTGTAAGTTGTTTGTTAGATTGTTTGTAAGTTTGTTCTTTTGTTTGTTAGTCTGTTTGTTTGGTAGTTAGTTTGTAAGTTTTTTAGTTTATTAGTTAGTTTGTTTGTTTGATTGTGAGTTTGTTTCTTTGTTTGTTTATAAGTTTGTAAATTTGTTTGTAAGTTGTTTGTTAGTTTGTTTGTAAGTTTGTTAATTTGTTCATTTGTTTGTTATTTAATTTTTAAGTTTCTTAGTTTGTTTGTTTGTTAATTTTTTTTGTTAGTTAATTTGTAAGTTTGTTTGTAAGTCTGTTTGTAAATCTGTAAGTTTGTTTGTAAGTCTGTTTGTAAGTTTCTTAGTTTGTTTGATTGTTTGTTTCTTTGTTAGTTAGTTTGCAAGTCTGTTTGTAAGTTTCTTAGTTTATTAGTTTGTTTGTTAGTTTGTTTCTTTGTTAGTTTGTAAGTTTGTTTGTAAGTTTCTTAGTTTGTTTTTTGTTAGTTTGTAAGTGTTTGTAAGTTTCTTAATTTATTAGTTTGTTTCTTTGTTAGTTAGTTTGTAAGTTTGTTTGTAAGTTGTTTGTTAGTTTGTTTGTAAGTTTGTTAGTTAGTTTGTTTGTAAGTTTGTTTCTAAGTTTGTTTGTGAGTTTGTTTCTTTGTTAGTTTGTTTGTAAGTTTGTTCTTTTGTTTGTTCTTTTGTTTGTAAGTCTGTTTGTTTGTTAGTTTGTTTGTAAATTTTTTAGTTTGTTTGTGAGTTTGTTTCTTTGTTAGTTAGTTTGTAAGTTTGTTTGTAAGTTTCTTAGTTTATTAGTTTCTTCGATTGTTGGTGAGTTTGTTTGTTTGTTTATAAGTTTGTAAGTTTGTTTGTAAATTTGTTAGTAAATTTGTTTGTAAATTTGTTTGTAAATTTGTTTGTAAATTTGTTTGTAAATTTGTTTGTAAATTTGTTTGTAAATTTGTTTATAAGTTTGTTTGTAAGTTGTTTGTTAGATTGTTTGTAAGTTTGTTAATTTGTTCTTTTGTTTGTTAGTTTGTTTGTTTCTAAGTTTCTTAGTTTGTTTGTGAGTTTGTTTCTTTGTTAGTTTGTTTGTAAGTTTGTTCTTTTGTTTGTTCTTTTGTTTGTAAGTCTGTTTGTTTGTTAGTTTGTTTGTAAATTTTTTAGTTTGTTTGTGAGTTTGTTTCTTTGTTAGTTAGTTTGTAAGTTTGTTTGTAAGTTTCTTAGTTTATTAGTTTCTTCGATTGTTTGTGAGTTTGTTTGTTTGTTTGTTTATAAGTTTGTTTGTAAATTTGTTAGTAAATTTGTTTGTAAATTTGTTTGTAAATTTGTTTGTAAATTTGTTTATAAGTTTGTTTGTAAGTTGTTTGTTAGCTTGTTTGTAAGTTTGTTAATTTGTTCTTTTGTTTGTTAGTTTGTTTGTTTCTAAGTTTCTTAGTTTGTTTGTTTGTGAGTTTGTTTCTTTGTTAGTTTGTTTGTAAGTTTGTTCTTTTGTTTGTTAGTTTGTTTGTAAATTTTTTAGTTTGTGAGTTTGTTTCTTTGTTAGTTAGTTTGTAAGTTTGTTTGTAAGTTTCTTAGTTTATTAGTTTCTTCGATTGTTTGTGAGTTTGTTTGTTTGTTTATAAGTTTGTAAGTTTGTTTGTAAATTTGTTAGTAAATTTGTTTGTAAATTTGTTTGTAAATTTGTTTGTAAATTTGTTTATAAGTTTGTTTGTAAGTTGTTTGTTAGATTGTTTGTAAGTTTGTTCTTTTGTTTGTTAGTCTGTTTGTTTGGTAGTTAGTTTGTAAGTTTTTTAGTTTATTAGTTTGTTTGTTTGATTGTGAGTTTGTTTCTTTGTTTGTTTATAAGTTTGTAAATTTGTTTGTAAGTTGTTTGTTAGTTTGTTTGTAAGTTTGTTAATTTGTTCATTTGTTTGTTATTTAATTTTTAAGTTTCTTAGTTTGTTAATTTTTTTTGTTAGTTAATTTGTAAGTTTATTTGTAAGTCTGTTTGTAAATCTGTAAGTTTGTTTGTAAGTCTGTTTGTAAGTTTCTTAGTTTATTAGTTTGTTTGATTGTTTGTTTCTTTGTTAGTTAGTTTGCAAGTCTGTTTGTAAGTTTCTTAGTTTATTAGTTTGTTTGTTAGTTTGTTTCTTTGTTAGTTTGTAAGTTTCTTAGTTTGTTTTTTTGTTAGTTTGTAAGTGTTTGTAAGTTTCTTAATTTATTAGTTTGTTTCTTTGTTAGTTAGTTTGTAAGTTTGTTTGTAAGTTGTTTGTTAGTTTGTTTGTAAGTTTGTTAGTTAGTTTGTTTGTAAGTTTGTTTCTAAGTTTGTTTGTGAGTTTGTTTCTTTGTTAGTTAGTTTGTAAGTTTGTTCATTTGTTCTTTTGTTTGTTAGTTAGTTTGTAAATTTCTTAGTTTGTTTGTGAGTTTGTTTCTTTGTTTGTTAGTTTTTAAGTCTGTTTGTAAGTTTGTAAGTTTTTTTGTTTATTAGTTTGTTTGATTGTTAATTTTTTTTTGTTAGTTAATTTGTAAGTTTGTAAGTCTGTTTGTAAGTTCGTTTGTAAGTCTGATTGTAAGTCTGATTGTAAGTCTGTTTGTAAGTATGTTTGCAAGTTTCTTAGTTTGTTTGATTGTTTGTTTCTTTGTTAGTTAGTTTGTAAGTCTGTTTGTAAGTTTCTTAGTTTGTTTGATTGTTTGTTAGTTTGTTTCTTTGTTAGTTAGTTTGTAAGTCTGTTTGTAAGTTTGTTTGTAATTTCTTAGTTTGTTTGATTGTTAGTTTGTTTCTTTGTTAGTTAGTTTGTAAGTTTCTTAGTTTATTGGTTTGTTTGTTAGTTTGTTTCTTTGTTAGTTAGTTTGTAAGTCTATTTGTAAGTTTCTTAGTTTGTTTGATTGTTTGTTTCTTTATTAGATAGTTTGTTTGTAAGTTTGTTTGTTAATTTGTTAGTTTGTTGGATATAAAGTCGTAATTTCCATAATTTTGTAGGGCATTTAGCAATTAGCCAATTTTATTTACGTCAAATCGATTTTTAGGTACCTGTAGAGGACCAAACGCTTTGCAACTTAGACACCTGGTTCAGAAAATATTTGATCATCAACAAACTAATCTGGGCCGCTAGAACAGTCGTTTTAAAAAACAGACTACTGAAAAACTTGGAAAAATTAAAGAAATTAAATACCGAAACTGTCAAAGAATTCGAACAAATTCCCAAATTCTATTTTGGAAGTTACAAGGAGATTTTTGCTAAATTTATTTAAATATTTATCGCAAACAAAAATTAAATAAAACAAAGTTACAAAATAGGAGCGACCGTTTCTTTTCGGAAAACAACTACTCCCTTGGCTAATACCGCAACAGGTATTGAATTACACCCAAAGGAAAGACAGTAGACACTTTTTCAAAATAAACTGTGGGTCTTATTAAAAAAAAATAGATTAATCAATTAACCTTACTTTTTAATTAAAAATATACATTCTGAAAATCCTTTCAATATTATAATAATAATAAATAATAATTATTAAGAAAGCTAACGCATTTTTTTAAACCTGAAAAAGTTAAAGCTGTTTTTCTTTCGAAAAACTTCTGAACACATGTTACGCTTATCCTAAATTATATATCTAAATCATCATCAGGATCTTCCTCGTCCCAATCGTCCACTTCGTCAAACTGGTAGAAAATCTTACCAGAATCTTGATCATTTTGATTTTCTGGTCTAAAATTAAAATAAGTAAGAAATAACATTCAAAGGACAACAGGGCTAGGAAACTGATTTGGGACACATATAGGAAGTCACAAGAAATAAGTAAAAAATAACATTCAAACGATGATATATAGGGTGAAAGTAAGAAAAGGTACATCAGGTTATGGGAACAGGGCTAGGAAACTGATTTGGGACACATGTAGGAAGTCAGTCTTATAACAAGATAAGAAATGAGTAAAATCATGGAAAGTGGGCTAGGAAACTGATTTGAGACACATATAATAGGAAGTCAGTATTATATAAACATAAGGGGTTATACAAATATACCATACTATTTATTCAGGCGATCAGCTAAAGATGGATATAAATTTGGGTTGTTACGATATGAAATATATATCCTGCTGGTGGAAGAAAATATATATGTATGCTTTATGAATCCGGCTCGAAAGACCAGTTCATAAGGGAGTTTGGAGGCTTATTATTCCACATATTTAAAAAACAACCACTCTGGTTTTTCTTTAGATGTGTAGAGAACAAAATTAAACATGGTCGTATAAAAAGTTTAACATCGCTGGACGTAGTACACTTTTTTTATTAAAATAAATAAATAAATTAAAATAAAGTTAATTGAAGAAAATGCATCACAGTTTGTATATAACAGAAGTAAAAAATACAATAATTTTCAACATGGCTAGAGCATGAATGTGATGAACTAATGTCAAATGTTAATGTCAGACGTCAAAATTAGAAGTAGATGATAAATAATGTAGAAATAGTAAGAATACTAAGTAAAGTAATTAGGTAAGTAAATAAGTAATAAGGTAACTAATTGGGTAAATAATTAGGTAAGTCATTGAGTAAGTAATTAGGTAAATAATCAAGTAAGTAATTAAGTATGTAATTAGGTAAATATTTAAATAAGTAATTAAGTAATTAAATAAGTAATTGGGTAAATAATTGGGTAAATAATTAGGTAAGTCGTTGAGTAAGTAATTAGGTAAATAATCAAGTAAGTAATTAAGTAACTGAGTAAGTAATTAAGTAAGTAATTAAGTAAGTAATTAAGTAAGTGATTATGTACGTGATTAAGTAAGTAATGAAGTACGTAATTAGGTAAATAATTAGGTAAGTAAGTAATTAATTAAATAAGTAATTAAATAAGCACGTAATTAAGTAAGTAATTAAGTAAGTGATTAAGTAAGTAATTAGGTAAGTAAATAAGTAATTAGGTAACTAATTGGGTAAATAATTAGGTAACTAATTGGGTAAATAATTAGGTAAGTCATTGAGTCAGTAATTAGGTAAATAATCAAGTAAGTAATTAAGTAACTGAGTAAGTAAGTACGTAATTAAGTAGGTAAGTAATTAAGTATGTAATTAGGTAAATAATTAAGTAAGTAATTAAATAAGTAATTAGGTAACTAATTGGGTAAATAATTAGGTAAGTAAATCATTGAGTAAGTAATTAGGTAAATAATCAAGTAAGTAACTGAGTAAGTAATTAATTGAGTAATTATGTACGTGATTAAGTAAGTAATTAATTAAGTATGTAATTGGGTAAATAATTAAGTAAGTAATTAAGTAATTAAATAAATAAGTAATTAAGTAAGTAATTAATTAAATAAGTAATTAGGTAAGTAATTAAGTAATTAAGTAATTAAAAAGTAATTAAGTAAGTGATTATGTACGTGATTAAGTAAGTAATGAAGTACGTAATTAGGTAAATAATTAGGTAAGTAAGTAATTAATTAAATAAGTAATTAAGTAAGTAAGCACGTAATTAAGTAAGTAATTAGGTAAGTAATTAAGTAAGTGATTAAGTAAGTAATTAGGTAAGTAAATAAGTAATTAGGTAACTAATTGGGTAAATAATTAGGTAACTAATTGGGTAAATAATAAGGTAAGTCATTGAGTCAGTAATTAGGTAAATAATCAAGTAAGTAATTAAGTAACTGAGTAAGTAATTAAGTAAGTACGTAATTAAGTAGGTAAGTAATTAGGTAAATAATTAAGTAAGTAATTAAATAAGTAATTAGGTAACTAATTGGGTAAATAATTAGGTAAGTAAATCATTGAGTAAGTAATTAGGTAAATAATCAAGTAACTGAGTAAGTAATTAATTGAGTAATTATGTACGTGATTAAGTAAGTAATTAACTAAGTATGTAATTGGGTAAATAATTAAGTAAGTAATTAAATAAATAAGTAATTAATTAAGTAAGTAATTAGGTAAGTAATTAAGTAAGTAATTAGGTAAGTAAATAAGTAATTAGGTAACTAATTGGGTAAATAATTAGGTAACTAATTGGGTAAATAATAAGGTAAGTCATTGAGTCAGTAATTAGGTAAATAATCAAGTAAGTAATTAAGTAACTGAGTAAGTAATTAAGTAAGTACGTAATTAAGTAGGTAAGTAATTAGGTAAATAATTAAGTAAGTAATTAAATAAGTAATTAGGTAACTAATTGGGTAAATAATTAGGTAAGTAAATCATTGAGTAAGTAATTAGGTAAATAATCAAGTAAGTAATTAAGTAACTGAGTAAGTAATTAATTGAGTAATTATGTACGTGATTAAGTAAGTAATTAACTAAGTATGTAATTGGGTAAATAATTAAGTAAGTAATTAAATAAATAAGTAATTAAGTAAGTAATTAATTAAGTAAGTAATTAGGTAAGTAATTAAGTAAGTAATTAAGTAATTAAGTAATTAAGTAATTAAGTAATTAAGTAATTAAGTAATTAAGTAATTAAGTAATTAAGTAATTAAGTAATTAAGTAATTAAGTAATTAAGTAATTAAGTAATTAAGTAATTAAGTAATTAAGTAATTAAGTAATTAAGTAATTAAGTAATTAAGTAATTAAGTAATTAAGTAATTAAGTAATTAAGTAATTAAGTGATTAAGTAATTAAGTAATTAAGTAATTAAGTAATTAAGTAATTAAGTAATTAAGTAATTAAGTAATTAAGTAATTAAGTAATTAAGTAATTAATTAATTAAGTAATTAAGTAATTAAGTAATTAAGTAATTAAGTAATTAAGTAATTAAGTAATTAAGTAATTAAGTAATTAAGTAATTAAGTAATTAAGTAATTAAGTAATTAAGTAATTAAGTAATTAAGTAATTAAGTAATTAAGTAATTAAGTAATTAAGTAATTAAGTAATTAAGTAATTAAGTAATTAAGTAATTAAGTAATTAAGTAATTAAGTAATTGAGTAATTAAGTAATTAAGTAATTAAGTAATTAAGTAATTAAGTAATTAAGTAATTAAGTAATTAAGTAATTAAGTAATTAAGTAATTAAGTAATTAAGTAATTAAGTAATTAAGTAATTAAGTAATTAAGTAATTAAGTAATTAAGTAATTAAGTAATTAAGTAATTAAGTAATTAAGTAATTAAGTAAAAAATTGTAAAAAAAATATCCAAAAAATGAATAAAAGAAAATTTACCAAAAAAAATGGATAAAAGAAAATTTGCCAAAAAATGGCAAAAAATTAATTTTGCGCAAAAAAATTTGGTTCAAGAAAAATTTTGTCAAAAAAAAATAAAATTTTGTAAAAAAAAAATTGCCAAAAATATTGTAAAAATAATTTTATACAAAAAAAAATTTACAAAAAATGGTCAAAAAATAATTTGGTCCAAGCAAAATTTTGTCAAAATAAGTAATTTAGTAAGTAATTAGGTAAGTAAGCAAATAGATAATTAGGTAAGTAATTAAGTAAATAATGTAATTAATTAAGTAAGTAATTATATAAGTAATTAAGTAGATAAACATTAAATGACTAAATAATTAGGTAGTTATTAAGTAAATAATTGGGTGAATAATTAAAGAATTAATTAAGTTAGTAATTAAGTAAGTAATTAAAAAATTAATTATGACAGTAATTAAGTAAGTAGGTAATTAAGTGAATAATTAAGTGAGTAATTAAGTAAGTAAGAAGTAATTAGGTTAACAGTGTTCATGCATCAACTTATGCCCATCAGCTATAGATAATTCGCCCAAGGATGATCAATTTAAAATGCTACGAATAATCGATGTTCTACTGTATATACAAATTAAAATCATAGTATTTTAATGATTATACAAGGCGTTCAGTGTTTCTGAACTTAAAATATATAACCCCCTATTTAAATTTGATTAAAAAAAAAAACATATTCTTACTTTGGCAAGTAGGGTAATATTTCGCCTCGCCTTTCGTCTCTAATTCGTTTGTCTTCTTCGGTGAGTCCGATTTTGAACGTCGATAACGTTTCCGGATTTATTTCCGCCGATACAGATTTTTCCAAAAGCTTTTTCGTATCGAGCTTCTCGATTTTCTTCGTCACGAGATTCTGATTATCTATCCAGTATTCCTCAATCTAAAAAATAGAATACTAACCATAAAAACAAACGTCATATAAAACAAAACGATATTTTATATAAGTAATTAAGTAAGTAATTAGATAAGTAATCTGAACTTACTCCTTTAATAATTTTTCCCCCAACTTTTTTATATGTATATTGAAGCCTGCCATTTTCGGAGTTAACGTTAGGAAATAAAGTTATACTAAGTGTGCATAGATGTTCTAACAATTGTTCAACTCTTAAATGTTCCTCTAATAAATCTTGATGCAACAACACAACTATTTGTTGAACAGCTATAAGATAAAAAAAATATGATTCAATATGGTACAAATAAATGTTGTTTATAAAAAAATCTGATGTGTCCAACAGATGACTTTCCCGTCTTTACCAAAAGCATAAATAGTATTTTATTTTTGACTAATTACTTCATGAACCGTTTGAAAAAACGCTGTCACTTGTCATTGACATTGGAATTAAGCAGAAATTGAAACCTACTGTGAACAAAAGCGCGTCTCTGAGTGGGACATCGCAGAAGAGTGAGTCTATAAGCATTCGCAGTATGCATGACTTGTACCTGAAACTAATTTGGTATAACCTTGGAGTTCGTATGCTAAGACACTCTAGATGGTGACACTACTTGTCCTTGTCATAAATTGTTTTGAAAAAAGAAAGGAAACTTTTTTTTAGAGATTGACATGATTACTGTACAAATGAACAACATGAAGCATATTAGGAAAGAAGTCAATGAACTGACAGCTAAGGGTAAACAATTTTTTATAAATTAAAACCAATTACTGACTCTGTGAGTACTTTGACTATATATTATCAAAATGCCGGTGGTGTCAGGATGAAAATTAACGATTTGCAACAAAATATTCTTTGTTTTGTTTATGATATTATTATTACCGAAAATTGGCTTAATTCAGATTTTAAATATGAGGAACTGGGGTTATTAGGTAGACGCATTCTTATAGCAATAAAGGATGAACTAATAACTGAATATATTGAAATTCTTCAAACAACAGTTGAATAGCTTTTTATATTTTATGAAATATATCCGTTATTTACGTTTGGAGAAAAAAAATCTTTAAATAAAAGTTGCTTCTTATATTATTATCTATAATTTTTATCATATATAAAATTTTCCTAAAATGGACCGTATTCGAGATATTTGAGAAAATATCTAAATTTCGAATTTTGAACAACACTCAAAAACGGGTAAAGAGAAAAACACCAAATTTTAAACTTTACTTTTATTCTGATCTGTGGTGAACTGATTAGATTTTGGCAGAGTCGGAACACCTGGGGGTACTTTATAGGGGGTCATTTTTATATTTTATGAAATATATGTTATTTACGCTTAAGGAAGAAAATTCTTCAAATAAAAGTTACTTCTAATGTTATTATCTATAATTTTTATCATATACAAAATTTTCTTAAAATGGACCGTATTCGAGATATTTGAGAAAATATGTAAATTTCGAATTTTGAAGAACACTCAAAAAAGGGTAAAGAGAAAAACATTAAATTTTAAACTTAAGCTTTATTCCGACCTGAGATGACCTGATTAGATTTTGGACAGAGTCGAAACATTTGGGGGGGTACTTTATAGGGGGTCATTTTTATATTTTGTGCAATATATTCGTTATTTACGTTTGGAGAAAAAAAGTCTTCAAATAAAAGTTGCTTCTTATATTATTCTCTATATTTCTTATCATATACAAAATTTTCCTAAAATGGTCCGTATTCAAGAAATTTTACAAAATGTAAAAAATTCAAATTTTTGAGAAAATTGTTCAAATGAAAGTTGTTTGTAATATTATTCTCTATAATTTTTGTTCTATATAAAATTTTCCTAAAATGATCCGTATTCGAGAAATTTTACAAAATGTAACAAAATCAAATTTTTAAGAATATTTTATGGAATATATTTGTTATTTACGTTTGGAGAAGAAAATTCTTCAATTAAAAGTTGTTTGTAATGTTATTTTCCATAATTTTTATCCTATACAAAATTTTCCTAAAATGGTCCGTATTCGAGAAATTTGAGAAAATGTAAAAAAATCAAATTTTTAAGAATATTTTATGGAATATATTTGTTATTTGCGTTTGGAGAAGAAATATTTTCAAATAAAAGTTGTTTGTAATGTTATTTTCCATAATTTTTATCCCATACAAAATTTTCCTAAAATGGTCCGTATTCGAAAAATTTGAGAAAATGTAAAAAAATCAAATTTTTAAGAATATTTTATGGAATATATTTATTTGCGTTTGGAGAAGAAATATTTTCAAATAAAAGTTGTTTGTAATGTTATTTTTCATAATTTTTATCCTATACAAAATTTTCCTAAAATGGCCCGTATTCGAGAAATTTGACAAAATGTAAAAAAATCAAATTTTTAAGAAGATTTTATGGAATATATTTGTTATTTACGTTTGGAGAAGAAAATTCTTCAAATAAAAGTTGTTTGTAATGTTATTTTCCAAAATTTTTGTCCTATACAAAATTTTCCTAAAATGGTCCGTATTCGAGAAATTTGAGAAAATGTAAAAAAATCAAATTTTTAAGAATATTTTATGGAATATATTTGTTATTTGCGTTTGGAGAAGAAATATTTTCAAATAAAAGTTGTGTGTAATGTTATTTTCCATAATTTTTATCCTATACAAAATTTTAAAATGGACCGTATTCAAGATATTTAAGAAAATGTGAAAATTTTGAATTTTAAAGAAAACTCAAAAACGAATAAAGAGAAAAACACAAAATTTTAAACCCAACCTTTTGGTTTGCGGTGAACTGATTAAATTTTTGGCAGAGTCGGAACATCTGGGGGGGTACTTTATACGGGTCGTTTTTATATTTTGTGGAATTTATTTACGTGTTGAGAAGAAAATCGTTCAAATAAGTTAAAAAAAATTTGTTCAAGAAAAATTTTGGCAAAAAAATTAAAAATTCTGGCAAAAAATACTGTAAAAAGAATTTAAGAAAAAAAATGTCCAAAAAATAATTTTGCCCAAAAAAATTTGGTCCAAAAAAAAAATTGTAAAAAAAATTGACAAAAAAAAATTGCCAAAAAATAATTTTGCCCAAAAAAGAAATTTGGTTCAAGAAAAATTTTGCCAAAAAAAAAAATGGCCAAAAGAAATGTAAAAAAAAATGTGTACAAAAAATTGACAAAAAAAGGCCAAAATTAATTTTACCCAAACAAATTTGGTTCAAGAAAAATAGTGTCCAAAAAAAAATTAAAAAGTTTGCTAAAAAAAATTTGATAAAAAATTTTTTTTAAAAATTTGACATCAGATTTTTACTTTCCTATCTGTATAGATAGATATAAGGAAAGTATAGGAATCATGATTTTTTTCGACCTCCAGTTTTCGACGGATTTTTACGTTTTGGGGTCCCCTGAATCCGTTTTGACTATTTTCGGGATGATGTCGAAAAATCGAAAAATCAAAAAATTGAAAAACCGAAAAAAAAAAACGAAAAATCGAAAAAAAAAAAAATCGAGAAATCGAAAAATCAAAAAATCGAAAAATCGAAAAAATCGAAAAATCAAAAAATCGAAAAATCGAAAAAATGTAAAAATCGAAAAAATGTAAAATCGAAAAATTGAAAAAAATGTAAAATCAAAAAATCGAAGAAAAATCGAAAAATGAAAAAATCGAATAATCGAAAAATCAAAAAATTGAAAAATCTAAAAATCGAAAAAACGAAAAATCGAAAAATTGAAAAACCGAAAAAAAAACGAAAAATCGAAAAAAAAAAAATCGAGAAATCGAAAAATAAAAAAATCGAAAAATCGAAAAAATCTAAAAATTGAAAAAATGTAAAATCGAAAAATTGAAAAAAATGTAAAATCAAAAAATCGAAGAAAAATCGAAAAATGGAAAAATCAAAAAATCGAAAAATCAAAAAATCGAAAAATCGAAAAATTGAAAAACCGAAAAAAAAAACGAAAAATCGAAAAAAAAAATATCGAGAAATCGAAAAATCAAACAATCGAAAAATCTAAAAATCGAAAAAATGTAAAATCGAAAAATTGAAAAAATGTAAAATCAAAAAATCGAAGAAAAATCGAAAAATCGAAAAATGAAAAAATCGAAAAATTGAAAAACCGAAAAAAAAAACGAAAAATTGAAAAAAAAAATCGAGAAATCGAAAAAATCTAAAAATTGAAAAAATTTAAAATCGAAAAATTGAAAAAAATGTAAAATCAAAAAATCGAAGAAAAATCGAAAAATGGAAAAATCGAAAAATCGAAAAATCAAAAAATCGAAAAATTGAAAAACCGAAAAAAAAAAACGAAAAATCGAAAAAAAAAATCGAGAAATTGAAAAATTGAAAAATCAAAAAATCAAAAAATCAAAAAATCGAAAAATCGAAAAAATCTAAAAATCGAAAAATTGAAAAAAATGTAAAATCAAAAAATCGAAGAAAAATCGAAAAATGAAAAAATCGAATAATCGAAAAATCAAAAAATTGAAAAATCTAAAAATTGAAAAACCGAAAAAAAAAACGAAAAATCGAAAAAAAAAATCGAGAAATCGAAAAATCAAAAAATCAAAAAATCGAAAAATCGAAAAATCGAAAAAATCTAAAAATTGAAAAAATGTAAAATCGAAAAATTGAAAAAAATGTAAAATCAAAAAATCGAAGAAAAATCGAAAAATCGAAAAATTAAAAAATCGAATAATCGAAAAATCAAAAAATTGAAAAATCGAAAAATCGAAAAAAACGAAAAATCGAAAAATTGAAAAATCGAAAAATGGAAAATCGAAAAACTGCTAACTGCTCATAACTGATTCTATCTCTTTTAGACACAATTTCCGAAAAATTGAATTTGAAAATGAATAATGGTCCACAAGAATTCACAACAAAATATGGGACCACCATTGACGCGGAATTTTCCAGATATTTAGAGGATATCAAGTCTCAAACTTATGTTTCTTATTTCAGTTACCATAAACCTATAGTTTCAATGATAAAAAATTCCTGAATAACCTACATGTATTGTAAGGTAATAAAAATATTTTAAACAATAAAATAATAAAAGAAAAAAAATTGTTTTCTTATCGGTCACCACGTTCAAAAAGTGTAACTTGAATTAATATCAAAGAAAAAAATACTGCATAAATAAAATAAATAAATAATTATAAGTTGATAAAAAATGCTATGCAATAGCTTTACCGCGGCAGTCCCCGAGTGCCACACATATTTTTTTAACTGTCTATTGTCATGTTTATACATTCAAAAATAAATTATATTGATGCTACTAATTATCATAAAAAATGTACTTTCAAACTACCTATTTAATATTTATCCAAGTTATCACTATATTTGAGTGTTTTCCCTGTGTTTGGGAAGGAAAGCTTTTTTTTAGTCCAATTTACAAGACTAACAGCAAAGATATAAAAAATTACAGATTTTACAAATTTAATTGGGTTAACTATGTATGCTTGCTAGCAAAACTCAACTCCATAGAATATTTGGCTCAATGATTTCACGATTGGATAGTTATCTCAAAGAACTTTGTTTGTACAATATGTTTTTAATTTAAACTGATTCTTACCTGCATCTTTTTTTAAGTTGTTTAAAATCCTGTACGTTTCAGCCAATCCAAATTTATAAATCACATGTGCTAAGGAATCAATAAATATAACACTATTACCGCCTAAATTTTTAGTAGTTTCTTCAAAATTCCCCGTTTTAGGATCTTTATTCCAACAGAAAATGTTAGTAACAAAATCATGTAAAATAATATTATTATGCTTTAATTTCTGTTTAATTCTACCGATTATATCCTGGAAAACGAAGTAATGTACCGTATTTTGTGGTTTTTCCAAGTGTGTTTTCAAGAGGAAATCAAATATTGGCTTTCCTCTTTCTTGTATTGTATCTAAAATAAAAATACGTATAAATATTGAATTATTAATAGATTTATCGTTTAAACCAACCTTCTATTAGTACAAATTTTGTGTACGGATGAGTTGTTAGGTAATTTCTCAGCATTATGCTGAAAAATGTTTAATAAAAACAATATTAATAACAAATCAAAACATTGTCACGTTTTTGGTAAACTAAAATTTGAGGTTAAATCTGAATGACGTTTGTAAAATAATCTTCTTTTTTTTGTGAGAGCTTTCCATTTCTATTAATTTTATAGGCCAATATTTGATATGTATTATATAATAGTAAAATTCGAGAGAAAACGTGGAAAATACTTTATATTAATCGATCTCAAGTGAGTTGGAATTCGAAATTAGGGTAATGTTGTAGTTGACGGGTCTAGAAATGCGCATATTCACACTACTCTGCACTGACGTCTAGAATTTGAATTTGCTCAAGCCACGTTGCCAAATCTCCACTTTCATTTTAGCTTGCTTTATTTCATAGTTTATTATTTAGACAAATTGTAACCTCTGTAAATTAAAATGTATGATAAATAAATATATAGATTTATATTATATTTTGAAATAACAATTATGTTTTGTTTTATAAGACAGTTTTGATAGATTTTAAATTTTGTAATTATCACTATTGAAAGGTATTATTGACATTAAAAATAACGATCGTATTACTTGAAAATCTTTAGAATTTTTTTAATTTTGAGATTTTTAATCGATGTAAAAATTGGTAAATAGATGATTACAAGTAAAATAGTTATTTCAATCTGCTTATTCCCTGATTCCAAATAATTAAATATAACCTGGCAACTATGTAACGATTCCAACTGACAGAACTAATCGGAACAGCAATGGTGCGGACGGCGCATTTCCAGACCCTTCAATTACAACATTACCCAACAGCAAAGAATACATACCCAAGAAGCGAAACTAAATGAGTTTTTCTATGTACCAAAGTAGCAGCGGACTTGACGTAAATGGGAACTTAATACACTGGGAAACGTATAATTCCAATCAATTTGTGTTGTTTGGTTCATGAGAATTAAACACATACTAAAGTTAAAATGACGGAAAATTCTTACTATGTTCAATAGATAATGTTAATAATAATAATAATTTTAGTAATAAGTAATGTAGGTAGCTGAGAATGTATTTTGATTGCATGATCCTGATAGCAGCGACTTGGTTCCTCAGAGTGAGTCTGTCATATATATTACTGTTTTAATCCTTACTATAAAATTGTTTATATGTATATTATTTAATGGATTAAATCGATCACAGTCCGTATGGTTTGAAAAACAAAATAGTGATTTAATTTTTGGAAATAGTCGAAAAATCTGGGGGTACTTTGTAGAAGGTTGTTTTTCTACTTTATGGAATATATCTGATATTTACGCTTGGAGAAGAAAATTCTTTAAATAAAAATTGCTTGTAATGTTATTCTCTAGAATTTTTGTCATTTAAAATGGTCCGTATTCGAGAAATTTGACAAAAAATGCAAGATTCTAATTTTTGGAATTGGAAAATGTATTTCTTATTTAGTTCATCCTTAGATTATTTTGATCAATAAGAAACATAGCAATAAAAAAATGTCTAGGCATCCTCAGACGTACCAAAAACCAGGATTGGCAGGTGGGTAATTTCACATTAAAGCGACATATACATGTCTTTCTAATTTTTTCAAATAAATAATTATTTTATATCTTTAAAATGATATCAACTACGAGAAATGAATTACTGTCTTTAAAGAACAATAAGTTTTGTTTCCAAAGAAGCAAGATTATTTTGAAAAATTTCCCTGACACGTCCTCAAGCCATTCATATCTTAAAAACGGTCATAATTTAAAAGTTATTTAAAATTACATTATCAACATTATAATACAGTTTTATCCAAGTATTTTCCATGTGCCAAGGCCCTTAAAAGCTCAAAAAAATTATTTATTTCGAAAATATAATAAATATTTAAATGGTCCTCAATGTCTTATGTAATTCAATTTGAGCAGTGTCCAGGCCGTTGGAGTCTATGCCGGTCGGCGTAGCCAGGTATGGGTTAATGTTTTTTGGTGGCGGCGAAGCCACTTTACGACTTATCGTAGGGTGGCGGCTACGATAAGTCCTTGCTTTTTTCTTGTTGCATATTTATGGACCGGTATGGGCAATCACAATTTTCCAATAACTACTAATTTTATCACAATCTGGCAACGTTGCAATTATATTTTTCAAATTTGACATTACGAGTGTGGAAAGTGACATTTTTCACACAAGTGGGAAATATTGTCGCACGAGGCACAAGCTGAGTGCGACTATCACACGAGTGTGGAAAATCACTTTTTACACAAATAATGTACAATATTTTTTCTACGACCACAAAATAATGACATCAAAAAATGTAAAACCAGGTTATTATTACTATAATAATTAAAATGTATTTAAAAAAATAATCAACAATAATCGTATTTATTCAATTTTCACACTTTCTAAACAAAAAAAATACTAAAATAAAAAAAAAACAAAAAAAAAATTCTGGCCCCGCCAAGATTTGAACGCGGTCGCTCGCCAAGTCTCAAATGGCAAAGTTAATAAGTTTGACGTTCTAACCATCTGAGCTAATAGCACTTACATCAATTGAATGATCTAATCGGTTATCCATTTAACCAGAATAAAAAGCAAACATATCTTAGTTATTTTAAAATTATTTTAATAATAATTGTTAAAGATAAATATCTAGGATCTAATTTACAACAATTTCAATAATTTAACAATCATATCGATTTTAGTATTAATATGGACATTACATAGATCAAAAGAGAAATTATATGTTTAACATTTTCTGACAGCTACTGCGGAAAGTAGCATATTCGTACACGGGTGGAAAGTAAATTCTTATTCATACGCGTGTGATATAGGGCACTTTCCATAGTGTGATATGTGTCATTTTCCTAAGTGGTCGTAGGAAAATATCATAGCTTCGTTTGCATTTGGAGAATACTGTGGGTACAGCATTGTCAAATAATCGTCTTCTATAAGATGTACTGTTTGAAAAATATTTTTCTTCAAAATGTTGTTCACATATTCTATATGAAGATAAGCCACTAGGAATTGTGAAATTTAAATCTTCACGATTACAAGCTTTTAACCAGAGTTGAGCTCTACAAAATTATATTTATTAATACTTAATTTTTCTAAATAAATTTGAACAGTAACATTTCAGTACATACCTTATGGCATCTCCTGGGAATTTAAACATTGTTAGCCCTTGTTCTGAAGTTGTAACACAACCACGAACAACGCAATGTATTTTTTTCATTGTAATAAAAACCTTTAAACTATCTAATATATAATTACTACTTTTAAATAAACCTACTGAAATTTTCTCAAAACGCTAAGAATAATATACCAAATGGCATACACTACATGAACTGACAACTATATTTGACGTTAAACTACCTCTAAAACACTGAGAAAACTTGGCAATTTTTTGTCCACGAATCGCCCATTTAGTGTCGCTTCTTGGGTAGGTATTCTTTGCCAACAGTGGAATCGGCCCTAAATATAATAGTAAAATTCGAGAGAAAAAGTGGAAAATACTATAAATTAATCGATCTCAAGTGAGTTGGAATTCGAAATTAGCCAGTAGACCGTAAGGTCTTAAGTTAAAAGTTGGCGAACTTTCTACGGTACGTTACGAACATTATAGAGAATTGGTAGACTATGCAACCACAAATGCACAGAAATGTATTTCAGGCTGCCTAACAATTTCTCTAAAGGGGGATTATGACGAAGATGTATGGGACGTGGATTTCGAGGTTATGTATGAAAAAAGTAAAATTTAACATTTATTTACATTAAAAAATATAAAATTACATACACACATAGGTCTTTTAAAGGGATTTCAAATAAAAATACACCAGTCTATATCTAATTTATTATATATATAAAAATTAAAATAGTTTAATACGAAATTAACTATCACTATTTTCACTATCAGAATAAGCTGAAAGTAAAGACAGTCCCCCAGTCGACGGTTGCTGCTTTGAAGGAACTTCAGCTTCCTTATTCACACTTTTGTTCGTTTTTACTAACCCTAATAAAGTTTTTTTCTTTATTACAATGTTAGATCCATTTTTAGCCCACATAGACGAACTAGGACCACTTTTCGATTCAGAATTTAAATTAATTACATTACCTTCAGATTTAGAAAGCTTTAGTTGCGGTTGTTCCTCTTCTATGATTTCTTCTTCTATAATTAATTTCCTTTTAGAATTACTAGAAAAATTTACAGATTTAATGTAATCTTCATCTAATTGTTGCAATTTTTCTTCTCTTTCTCTTTCACTTATAGTTGTATCGTAGGTTAATAGCATAGTATCATAATCTACAACTTGTTGTCTTTTATTTAAATCTTTTAACTCTTCCAGTGATTCTAAAAGTTCAATTTCGTTTTTAGATTGTTTTGTCCTATTTTCCAATAGTTTCATAGGGTTATTAGCTTCTTCTTCTTTAGCCTCTTCTTCCTCTCGCAAAGCTTGTTCTTCTGCTAACTTCAGAGCCATAAAATTACGAGTGGCTCCTGCTTCTATCTCGTAATCAGTGTTTCTAGGATCTGTTTTAAATGAAATTTCTTGTAAACACCTTGTACATTTGATGTAAAACCTGTATATCCTTATACCGAGGTAATCTTGGTTTTCGACGTCCTCTTTTCGGGCGTTGAACTTTTTTCCTTTGTATATGTATTCTCCGCAAGTGGCACATCTCATATTGAAAGGAGCCATAAGACGAACTGTGTATTGTCTGTTTTTAGGCAGTTTCATTCGTGGGATTTTCGATGGATCGAAATCCGGGGGGTAATATTTGTTTAAAACTTTACGTTCAGACATTTTTTAAGTCTAGTAGTCACTAATTGTAATTAAAATATGATTGAATTGTTTGTTTTCACTTTTTACAAATGGTTATGTCAAAATTTATTGACATTTGACGTTATCTCTGACATATGTGACTTCTGCTTGCTGGAAACTTTAATGGCCTTGTCGATAGCTGGCTGCTAAGGTATTAGTCTAAACAGAACCAATGATATATATAGTTTAATAGACTGCTTATCCTTATATAAACAGGGCGATGAAAAGCGGGTCATAATTCAGTCGTTCATATTACCATTTGCCACGTTTGAGAATCAGAGAAACCACATCGGATCATGGAGGTATAATACTAATGGAGATGCCATGAGGCAATTGTTTTGCATATGATACGTTTTATTAAAAATGACCCCACTGGGTGTGGCTTAAATGGTTGACTAAGCAGGGTCGTATTCATATCCCGAAAACGTCAAGTGTCAACTAAAATTTTTACTTTTTAAAGATCAAACGTGCCGCCTAAGAGTGCCAATACTGATTGATAAATATACTGGGGTCTGACCACATACTTAAATATAAATTATAAGTATGTGGGTCTGACTGTCCAGTGTCCGTGGAAATTGAGGCGATGCACTGATATGCACAGCGTTGCCATGTTTTAATTATTTCCCCAGAACGATTACGTGAATTACCTAAAATGCACTTTTTCAAAAGTTGTTGTGGAAACTATTATCACAGAGTACATACAATTTGTCAACTGGTTTGTTGACGATTTTTCATTGGTACACGTTTTTGGTGATAAAATTCACATACACGTCACATAATGGTTTATTTTTATATTTTTTGCTTTTAAATTACCACGATTAACGGTTAATTCATTTCGATGTCTCTGTTTGACACATTGTATATAAATTCTATTTTAAAATTAGATTAATTTGTTAATTTTGTGTAGGCAACTATATACAATATCGTGTAATAAGAGTTGCATATCCAGAAGTAGAGAATAATTATGAAGTTATTGCGTCCTACCTTTACTTCTGGGTATGCAACTCTTATTACACGATGTTGTATATAGAGTTGCCTGAACCTTCTATCTCTATCATGGAAGTATAATACTAATGGAGATGCCATGAGGCAATTGTTTTGCATATGAAACGTTTTATTAAAAATGACCCCACTGGGCGTGGCTTAAATGGTTGACTAAGCAGGGTCGTATTCAAATATAATTAAAGTCCGTATGCAGAATTACAACTTTTAAATGACTTACTTACCTAAGATTTGTTTCAACATGATCGATTCGAAATTAATTTGATGACATTGCGCAATTATGACTTCTACACTATTTACTATTATTTATTAACCATTTTCCGACCAAGCAGTGAGTGATGGCCACAAATCTAATTAAATAATAAAAATACATCACCAATATTTATTATTATACAGTATATTCATTATTAAAACGGTATAATAATAGGAAATTAGGATCTAATAAATACTGCTTTTAAATACTTGAAATTTTATTCTAAATTATGTGTTACTTAAAAAGTTAGTCATTTAAGTGTAATTATAAGTTGGTTTTTAAGTTTAATTATAGTTGGTTTTTAAGTTTAATTATAAAGTTAGTTATTTAAGTTTTATTATAGTTATCTAAGTTTCAATATAGTTATTTGTCTTTATTATAAAGTTGGTTAGGCCAATGTTCTTTATTAAGTTAGTTATTTAAGTTTTATTGTAAATAAAGTGTATACTAACTAAACATTCATTTATTGTCAGAACAGCATTCTACTTCAATCTGACCCTAAACTCACTCTTATCAAAAAATTCTTCCTTGAAGTGAATAGAGCACAACATGCTATTCGGTTTAGGCTCAAATTGGTCTTTTCCCACAAATTTAGACCAAATTTTGAGATATTGTGGGTCTTTTGGAAACCTATAATAAAAAAAGTTAAGCATTCTAAAAAAAATTCTAAGTACACTCCTTATACTTAATTAAATTAGATATTTTCTTACGCTCTTTCACTGAAAAGTTTTTACAATTAATTTTGGCACACTTAGTCATGATTTTTATACAAATTAATAAAAAAAAACACTTATTAAGATAGAAATAACGTCGAAATATTTAAATTTGAACAAAGTTCTGACAGCTCTTTGACAACTATGACATGACCACTAAGAGAGGGGAAAGGGGTGTCATTTTTTTTTTTACATGTCATCTTCATAGTATTCAACCTCATTGTTTAAAATAAATTTTGATTTATTTATCTTGTGTTTATTTTATTTTATTTAACATCTTTATATGTAATAAATGTATTATTCTTGAAAAAAAAATAGTGTTTTTAAGCTTTTTACTTACATTCTATTTAACTTCATACCCTTACACCAAATTCAATCGGTTTTAAAGTTTAAACCATTAAATTTATTGCACACAAAGGGGTCTATTCTGTAAAAATATGTTCTTATTCGTTAATTTACTTCTGTCATTACTTAAACAGATTTCTTTAAGATAGTACTCTAATGTATTTTAAAGATCCGTTTAAATAATGACAGAAGTAAAGAAGGAAATATTTTTAAAGGCCGTTAAATATAAAGGAATTGTTACAGAATAGACCCCAATATCGGTTAGTATTTCATTATCTTTTTATAATTAGTTATAATTTTATCTTTAATAAGATACGCCACTGGTATTAACAGACTTTTAGTTGCGTACAACAGCAGCGTTCCCAGACGAGATATTCGATTACAGTCTGTCTTCTTTCGATTCGCATAAACTATCTTCTTTCTCTTTTCCGATGATTGGAACCAAACAAAACATACTTTATGAATGAAATGCATCATCTGTTGTTTCTTTTATCTAAGATAATAACCATTTTTCTAATTCACTTGCTATCTGGTCCACCAAATTGTGAACTGGACAATGATCAATCTATATAAATATCTATATCATTGACCCTGTCAAATCACCAGACCTACAGTGTTGCCATATCATAATTTATTTTGTGCCTGTCAGTGGCATTATTACTTTTTACTGAAATCTATTACGTTTTAGGAATTATAGTGGATTTTATTTGTTGCACTAGTGTCACACTCCACTGTATTCGAACTGTCATACTTGTCAAAGGTTTATGCTACACGTGTGATACTGTCAATTTTTGAAGCTACACCGAACAAATCAAATGCGTTTAGTGCAGAAAACTTACACCTAGTGCAACAAATAAAACCACTATTAGTGCAACATTCGAACATACAACATTTTAGTAAACAATAATGTCAAAAAACGTCAATATTTATTGAAATTGTGAAAATATACAAGTAATTTGTATTAAAAAATCTAGCTAAAGTTAGTTTTGTGAACTCAAACCTTTCTTGTTATTCCTTATTATGGAACCTTCAGAAAAATTCTCTTCAGACTCGGTTCCTGCTCGACATTCTGAAGAAAAAACTCAAATTGAAGGTGATATAGATTTAGAAGAAGATGAAATATCCCAACAAATGACTCAATCTTATAGCGAAATTTCATTTAGGTCTGGTTTAAGTCCGGAAGAGATAGAAATCCCTATGAACTCGACTTTAGAATCATTGAATTTAGATGAAATTAAGAGACCAATGACTTTACCATATAATAATCCGAAACCTTTGAATCTAGAAGGGTCTGTACATATTGAGGGTAATATGACACACTTTGTTGCTGAAGAAATTGAACAAAAAATAAGGTTTGTGACAAATTTAATTTGTATTGCATGAACTTATATTAATAAATAAACTTTTTCTGAATTTTTTATGCTTGCGTCATAGAGAAAATATATCCATTCTCATTTCAAAACTATTGCAACACTTTAGAATATTGTGTACAAAATTAAGTCAAAACACAGGAGAAATTGAAGGCATTAACACTCAAAATGCACTTGTTAAAATTATATTGATGTGTATGTGCTAAATTAAAAAATATATGAAAAATAAAATAAATAAAAATGGATAAAAATAAATAAATAAATAAATATGAGAAAACAAATTCATCAGTATAGTATTTTTTAATATTTTTTAAGAATTTTTTACAACTTTTTTTTCTTCAGTTTTTTTATTATTTGATATTTCTTGTTTTTTTTTTTTATTGTACTAAAGTATTTTTTAGTATTTTTTTTATTTTTTCTTTGGTATTTTTTAGTATTTTAGTTTTTTATTTGATTTTTCTTGTTTTTTCATTGTACTAAAGTATATTTTAGTATTTTTTCTTAGTTTTTTTTTTGTTTGTATTTTAGTATATTTATTTGAATTTTTTTTGTTGTACTAAAAAGTATTTTTTTAGTATTATTTTAGTATTTTTTTTTGAATTTTTTAGATTTTTTTTGTATTTTTTAGTATTTTATTTTGGAACTTTTAAAAATATTTTAATATTTTATTATTTTTATTTTTTAATACGTTTTTATTTTACTAAAGCATTTTTTAGTATTTCTTTCCGTATTTTTTTTAGAATTTTTTTAGATTTTTTTTTAGTATTTTAGTATTTTTATTATTTGATATTTCTTGTTTTTTTATTGTACTAAAAACTTTTTTTAATATTTTTTTAGAATTATTTTACTATTTTTTTTGTATTTTTTATTATTTTTATTTTTTTAGTATTTTTAGTACTTTTTTATTTAGTAAAATATTTTATGTATTTCTTTAGTATTTTTGTAATATTTTTTGTGTTAAGCATTTTTATTATTTTTTTAGTATTTTAGTATTTTTATTATGTAATTTTTATTACTTTTTTTTAGTATTTTTTTAGATTTTTTTTTGTATTTTTGAATTTTTTTAGTATTTTATTTTGTATCTTTTAAAATTTTATTATTTTAATTTTTTTAGTACTTTTAGTATTTTTATTATTTGATATTTCTTGTTTTTTATTGTACTAAAAACTTTTTTTAATATTTTTTTAGAATTATTTTACTATTTTTTTTGTATTTTTTATTATTTTTATTTTTTTAGTATTTTTAGTACTTTTTTATTTAGTAAAATATTTTATGTATTTCTTTAGTATTTTTGTAATATTTTTTGTGTTTAGCACTTTTATTATTTTTTTTATTAATATTTTTAGTATTTTTAAATGTTTTTTTTTAGCATTTTTATTATTTTTTAGTATTTTTATTATGTTTTAGTATTTTTATTATGTAATTTTTATTACTTTTTTTAGTATTTTTTTAGATTTTTTTTTGTATTTTTGTATTTTTTTAGTATTTTATTTTGTATCTTTTAAAATTTTATTATTTTAATTTTTTTAGTATTTTTATTATTTGATATTTCTTGTTTTTTTATTGTACTAAAAACTTTTTTTAATATTTTTTTAGAATTATTTTACTATTTTTTTTGTATTTTTTATTTTTATTTTTTTAGTATTTTTAGTACTTTTTTATTTAGTAAAATATTTTATGTATTTCTTTAGTATTTTTGTAATATTTTTTGTGTTTAGCATTTTTATTATTTTTTTAGTATTTTAGTATTTTTATTATGTAATTTTTATTACTTTTTTTAGTATTTTATTTTGTATCTTTTAAAATTTTATTATTTTAATTTTTTTTTAGTACTTTTAGTATTTTTTTAGTATTTTATTTTGTATCTTTTAAAATTTTATTATTTTAATTTTTTTAGTACTTTTAGTATTTTTATTATTTGATATTTCTTGTTTTTTATTGTACTAAAAACTTTTTTTAATATTTTTTTAGAATTATTTTACTATTTTTTTTGTATTTTTTATTATTTTTATTTTTTTAGTATTTTTAGTACTTTTTTATTTAGTAAAATATTTTATGTATTTCTTTAGTATTTTTGTAATATTTTTTGTGTTTAGCATTTTTATTATTTTTTTTATTAATATTTTTAGTATTTTTAAATGTTTTTTTTTTAGCATTTTTATTATTTTTTTAGTATTTTAGTATTTTTATTATTTGATATTTCTTGTTTTTTTATTGTACTAAAAACTTTTTTTAATATTTTTTTAGAATTATTTTACTATTTTTTTTGTATTTTTTATTTTTATTTTTTTAGTATTTTTAGTACTTTTTTATTTAGTAAAATATTTTATGTATTTCTTTAGTATTTTTGTAATATTTTTTGTGTTTAGCATTTTTATTATTTTTTTAGTATTTTAGTATTTTTATTATGTAATTTTTATTACTTTTTTTAGATTTTTTTTTGTATTTTTGTATTTTTTTAGTATTTTATTTTGTATCTTTTAAAATTTTATTATTTTAATTTTTTTTTAGTACTTTTAGTATTTTTTTAGTATTTTATTTTGTATCTTTTAAAATTTTATTATTTTAATTTTTTTTTAGTACTTTTAGTATTTTTATTATTTGATATTTCTTGTTTTTTTATTGTACTAAAAACTTTTTTTAATATTTTTTTAGAATTATTTTACTATTTTTTTTGTATTTTTTATTATTTTTATTTTTTTAGTACTTTTTTATTTAGTAAAATATTTTATGTATTTCTTTAGTATTTTTGTAATATTTTTTGTGTTTAGCATTTTTATTATTTTTTTAGTATTTTAGTATTTTTATTATGTAATTTAGTAGTATTTTTTAGATTTTTTTTTGTATTTTTGTATTTTTTTAGTATTTTATTTTGTATCTTTTAAAAATTTATTATTTTAATTTTTTTAGTACTTTTAGTATTTTTATTATTTGATATTTCTTGTTTTTTTATTGTACTAAAGTATTTTTTAGTTTTTCTTTAGTATTTTAGTTTTTATTTGATTTTCTTGTTGTTTTATTGTACTAAAGTATATTTTTAGTATTTTTTAGATTTTTTGTATTTATTTTAGTATTTTTATAATTTGATTTTTTTATTGTACTAAAAAGTATTTTATTATTTAATTTTTTTAGTATTTTTTTAGTACTTTTAGTATTTTTATTATTTGATATTTCTTGTTTTTTTTTATTGTACTAAAGTATTTTTTTTATATTTTTTTGTATTTTTCAGTATTTTATTTTGGATCTTTTAAAAATATTTTATTTTTTAGTATTTTTTTGGTATTTTTTAGTACTTTCTTATTCTACTAAAACATTTGTTAAGTGTTTTTTTTTTAGTGTTTTTTTTAGTATTTTTTCCTTTAGTATTTTTTTTAGTACTTTTAGTATTTTATTTTTAAGTATTTTTATTATTTGATTTTTCTTGTTTTTGTATTGTACTAAAAAGTTTATTTTGGATCTTTTAAAAATATTTTTTAGTATCTTATTATTTTAATTTTTTTAGTATTTTTTATTTTATTAAATAAACCTCAATATTTACACACTTTAAATACTTTCTCGCTTCATTTCTAATTTTTTTTGTATTTCTTTTGGTATTTTTTTAGTGTTTTTTAGTATTTTCTTATTTGTTTTTTAGTATTTTTTTATTTTTTTTTTTTTAGTATTTTTTATTTTCCTTAGGATTTTTCTTAGTATTTTTTTTTATTAATTTAGTGCTTTTAGTATTTTTTTTGGCATTTTTATTATTTTTTTTATTAATATTTTTAGTATTTTTTAAGTGTTTTTTTTAGCATTTTTATTGTTTTTTTTAATAATATTTTTAGTATTTTTTAAGTGTTTTTTGGCATTTTTATTATTTTTTTAGTATTTATTTTTCTTTTAGTATTTTTTTAACATTTTAGTATTTTTATTATGTAATTTTTATTACTTTTTTAGTATTTTTTTTTTGTATTTTAGTATTTTTATAATTTGATTTTTCTTGTTTTTTATTGTACTAAAAAGAATCTTTTACTATTATTTTAGTATTTTTTAGTGTTTTTTTTAATTTTTTAAGTATTTTTAGATTTTTTTTGTATTTTTTTAGTATTTTATTTTGGATTTTTTAAAATTTTATTATTTTAGTACATTTTTATTTTACTTAAGTATTTTTTAGTATTTTTTTTTTTTAGTATTTGATTTTTGTTGTTTTTTTATTGTATTCAAATATTTTTTTTTTTTTTCAGTATTTTTTTAGTATTTTATTTTGGATTTTTTAGTATTATTATTTTTATTTTTCTAGTATGTTTTTTTTATTTTTTAAGTATTTTTTAGTACTTTTTAATTTTACTAAAGCATTTTTTACCATTTCTTTTGGTATTTTACATCAAATATTCCTGCATTTCCTCCAAAGGTCTATTTGATTGCACTATTACTCTTCACATAAATATATTACAGATTATCTAGTCCAGTTTCAAAAAAAGACACCCCAGGAGGAAGCATTTCCAGGACTTGCACCCCAAGTCCTTTATACCGGCAGTTGCTGGTACCGCAAGTAGGCCAGTTAGATTCTGCGCTCATAAACGATTTAGAAGTAGAAGCACACCGAATGGCCACGTCCGTTGACAGTTTGATTGAAAATTTATGCGGGATTTTGCATTCTATATCTTCAATCACTGCTGATAACGTAGACGTGTATAAAAATGCAGTTTCCAAAATGAGCGACGCGATGGACTCTAATATAAAGAGTATGTACACGATGATGGCAAAAGCTGAAGAGGTCACTCAAAGTATGAAGGTTGTCGAGGGTCTTTCAGTTAGAATTAAAGAGATTAAAAGATTGGTTGATTTATTTGAGACTTTTGTTTAAATTGTGATATTTTATGTTTTAAAGATAATTTTCCTCTAATTATGTTTCAATTTTATTGTGATAATAAAGTTTAGTCTAAGAGAATATGTGTTTTATTCCGGGAGATCGTAAAGTGGAAAATTTCATCCTGATCCGTTCAGCCGTTCTGGCGTGACTGAATAACAAACATCCATACAACCAAACTTTCTTATATATTGGTAGGATTAATATTTATTTAATAATTTCGCTATAACGTGCAGTGTCGCTTACGCCCATTCGAATAACTTAAATTGAAAAGCGTGTCATTCCTTCATGCAAAAGTACTAAAAATATTAATAAAAAAAATAATAAAAATGCCAAAAAAAAATACTAAAAGCACTAAATTAATAAAAAAAATACTAAGAAAAATCCTAAGGAAAATAAAAAATACTAAAAAAAAAAATAAAAAAATACTAAAAAACAAATAAGAAAATACTAAAAAACACTAAAAAAATACCAAAAGAAATACAAAAAAAATTAGAAATGAAGCGAGAAAGTATTTAAAGTGTGTAAATATTGAGGTTTATTTAATAAAATAAAAAATACTAAAAAAATTAAAATAATAAGATACTAAAAAATATTTTTAAAAGATCCAAAATAAACTTTTTAGTACAATACAAAAACAAGAAAAATCAAATAATAAAAATACTTAAAAATAAAATACTAAAAGTACTAAAAAAATACTAATAAAAATACTAAAGGAAAAAATACTAAAAAAAAAACACTAAAAAAAGACTTAAAAAATGTTTTAGTAAAATAAGAAAGTACTAAAAAATACCAAAAAAATGCTAAAAAATAATAAAATATTTTTAAAAGATCCAAAATAAAATACTGAAAAATACAAAAAAAATATAAAAAAAATACTAAAAAAATACTAAAAAAATACTAAAAAAATACAAAAAAATCTAAAAAAATACTAAAAAAAGTAATAAAAATTACATAATAAAAATACTAAAATACTAAAAAACTAATAAAAATGCTAAAAAAAAACATTTAAAAATACTAAAAATATTAATAAAAAAAAATAATAAAAATGCTAAACACAAAAAATATTACAAAAATACTAAAGAAATACATAAAATATTTTACTAAATAAAGTACTAAAAATACTAAAAAAATAAAAATAATAAAAAATACAAAAAAAAAGAGTAAAATAATTCTAAAAAAATATTAAAAAAAGTTTTTAGTACAATAAAAAAACAAGAAATATCAAATAATAAAAATACTAAAATAAAAAAAAAATCTAAAAAAATTCTAAAAAAAAAATACGGAAAGAAATACTAAAATACAAAAAAAATCTAAAAAAATTCTAAAAAAAATACGGAAAGAAATACTAAAAAATGCTTTAGGAAAATAAAAACGTATTAAAAAATAAAAATAATAAAATATTTTTAAAAGTTCCAAAATAAAATACCAAAAAGATACTAAAAAATACAAAAAAAATCTAAAAAATTCAAAAAAAATACTAAAATAATACTAAAAAAATACTTTTTAGTACAACAAAAAAACATTCAAATAAATATACTAAAATACAAACAAAAAAAACTAAGAAAAAATACTAAAATATACTTTAGTACAATGAAAAAACAAGAAAAATCAAATAAAAAACTAAAATACTAAAAAATACTAAAGAAAAAATAAAAAAATACTAAAAAATACTTTAGTACAATAAAAAATATATATATATAAAACACTTAAAAAATACTAAAAGTACTAAAAATATTAATAAAAAAAATAATAAAAATGCCAAAAAAAAATACTAAAAGCACTAAATTAATAAAAAAAATACTAAGGAAAATAAAAAAAAAAAATAAAAAAATACTAAAAAAACAAATAAAATACTAAAAAACACTAAAAATACCAAAAGAAATACAAAAAAAATTAGAAATGAAGCGAGAAAGTATTTAAAGTGTGTTGAGGTTTATTTAATAAAATAAAAAATACTAAAAAAATTAAAATAATAAGATACTAAAAAATATTTTTAAAGATCCAAAATAAACTTTTTAGTACAATACAAAAACAAGAAAAATCAAATAATAAAAATACTTAAAAATAAAATACTGAAAGTACTAAAAAAATACTAATAAAAATACTAAAGGAAAAAAATACTAAAAAAAACACAAAAAAAAGACTTAAAAAATGTTTTAGTAAAATAAGAAAGTACTAAAAAATACCAAAAAAATGCTAAAAAATAATAAAATATTTTTAAAAGATCCAAAATAAAATACTGAAAAATACAAAAAAAAATATAAAAAAAATACTAAAAAAATTAAAATAATAAAATTTTAAAAGATACAAAATAAAATACTAAAAAAATACAAAAAAAAATCTAAAAAAATACTAAAAAAAGTAATAAAAATTACATAATAAAAATACTAAAATACTAAAAAAATAATAAAAATGCTAAAAAAAAACATTTAAAAATACTAAAAATATTAATAAAAAAAAATAATAAAAATGCTAAACACAAAAAATATTACAAAAATACTAAAGAAATACATCAAATATTTTACTGAATAAAAAAGTACTAAAAATACTAAAAAATACAAAAAAAATAGTAAAATAATTCTAAAAAAATATTAAAAAAAGTTTTTAGTACAATAAAAAAAACAAGAAATATCAAATAATAAAAATACTAAAATACAAAAAAAAATCTAAAAAAAAATACGGAAAGAAATACTAAAAAATGCTTTAGGAAAATAAAAACGTATTAAAAAATAAAAATAATAAAATATTAAAATAGTTCCAAAATAAAATACCAAAAAGATACTAAAAAATACAAAAAAAATCTAAAAAATTCAAAAAAAATAAAAAATAATACTAAAAAATACTTTTTAGTACAACAAAAAAAATTCAAATAAATATACTAAAATACAAACTAAGAAAAAATACTAAAATATACTTTAGTACAATGAAAAAACAAGAAAAATCAAATAAAAAACTAAAATACTAAAAAATACTAAAGAAAAAATAAAAAAATACTAAAAAATACTTTAGTACAATAAAAAAAAACAAGAAATATCAAATAATAAAAAAACTGTAGAAAAAAAGTTTCGCTATAACGTGCAGTATCGCTTACGCCCATTCGATTAATTTAAATTGAAAAGCCTGTCATTCCTTCATGCAATATAAATGAGCTAAATATATATATTACAATACATACGTATTTTTTTAATATTATTTATTTATTATTACACTCACGTCTTTGTTTTTTTAGTGGATTGATTATAAATAAATGAACTTAAAATTTCGTTTCAAAATGTCGCTTATGCCTAATGTTTTTCTAGGGATGTCTCGTGGACGACAACTTGTTAATATGGTTTTGTAACTTATTTAAATATTTGATAATTTAAAATTGTTCAAGCCCTTTTGTCAATTTGCTGTAACACTTCCGAAACAACACTTATTATATTGTTCTAATAGATAATTTTTGTTATTCTGTTTATTCATTAGAACTGAAAAGAAAAGACGACACATTATTCAAAAATTAATATTTTTAGATTACATTACAATCGCCAAAAATTTAGATAAGTAAAACTCAAGTGGCTATTGTAAAACAAATACGTAATGTAGCAAATTTAATTTTTTTTTTGGTACGGTTGAATAGAGAATAAAACCCCCTTTCAAATGAGCTATCACTCACCACCCCATGCCATTTAAATTTTTCTAAAGGGTTGCTCCCCTCCAGTAAGGGATGAAATTCATACAAAAATTGTACATTGTAGAAATCAAAAAATCGACGTGTTTCGGCGATTTTCCTAACGAGACTCCAGTAACGAGTTAGTTATGATGCTCACTGTACTATAAAATTATTTAATTTTTTTATTGTACTAAAGTATTTTTAGTATGTCTTTGTAAAAATTTTTCTAGTATTTTTTAGTATTTTTTCAGTATTTTTAGTATTTTTGTTAGTATTTTTTAGTATTTTTTTATTGTACTAAAATAAAGTATTTTTTTATTTTTTTAGTATTTTTTTATTGTACTAAAATAAAGTATTTTTTATTTTTTTAGTATGTTTTTTATTTTTTTAGTATTTTTTTTTGTTTTTTTATTGTACTAAAGTAAAGTATTTTTTTATTGTACTTACTAATGTATTTTTTTAGTATGTTTTTTATTTTTTTAGTATTTTTTTTTGTATTTTTATTGTACTAAAGTATATTTTTTATTTTACTAGTATTTTTTTAATTTTTCTAGTATTGTTTACTATTTATTTATTGTAATAAAGTATTTATTTTTTTAGTATTTTTTTGTACTAAAGTATTTTTAGTATTTTTTAAAAATTTTTCATTTTTTTTTTATATTTTTTATAGTATTTTATTTATTTTTAGTATTGTTTCTAGTATTTTTTAATATTCAAAAAAAATTATATTTTCAGTATTTTTTAGTATTTTTTTATTGTACTAAAGTATTTTTTTATTGTACTTACTAATATATTTTTTAAGTATGTTTTTTTTTATTTTTTTAGTATTTTTTTGTATTTTTACTTTCCTATCTATATACAGATACAGAAAGTATAGGAATCATTTTTTTGACCTCGAGTTTTCGACGGATTTTTACGTTTTAGGGTCCCCTGAATCCGTTTTTAGTATTTTTTAGTATTTATTTTTCTAGTATTTTTATTTTACTAAAGTATTTTTTTAGTATGTTTTTCATTGCATTCGCATGATTATTCTGTTCGACGTTAAGAGATTTAATTCACCCCATTCCCCCGCTTCCTCTCGCTCTGTCTCACTCTTACCTACTGAATTTGTACCTCTCACTTACACATTGAATTCCCTATGTGAGCCCATGTCAGCTTTGTCTATCTACTAGTGTGTGTATGTGTGTGTTTTGGTATTTTTTAGTATTTAAAATTTTTTTTAGTATTTTTATTTTTTTTTTTAGTATTTTTATTTTTTTTTAGTATTTTTATTTTTTTTTAGTATTTTTATTTTTTTTTAGTATTTTTATTTTTTTTTAGTATTTTTCTTAGTATTTTTTTTTGTATTTTTTAATATTTTTAAGTGTTTCTTAACATTTTTATTATTTTTTGTTTTTTTTTTGTATTTTTTATTGTACTAAAGTATATTTTTTATTATTTTTCTTTTAGTATTTTTTATATTTTTCTAGTATTTTTTTGTAATTTTTAGTATTTTTTCTAATATTTTATTTTTTTTGTATTTTTTAAAATATTTGTTTTTAGTATTTTCTTTTAGTATTTTTTTTGGATATCTTTTTAGTTTTTTATTTTATTTTTTAGTTTTTTTGGCATTTTTAGTATTTTTTTAAATTTTTTTAGTATTTTTTTGTATTTATTTATTGTAATTAAGTATTTTTTAGTATTTTTTTATTGTACTGAAGTATTTTTTTATTGTACTAAAGTATTTTTATTATGTTCTTTTAAGCATTTTTCAAGTATTTTTAGTATTTTGTAATTTTTTTCAGTATTTTTTTTTATAGTATTTTGTTTATTTTTAAAGTATTTTTTAATTTTTCTTCAGTATTTTTTCTAGTATTTTATTTTGAATTTTTTAAAAATATTTTTTAGTATTTTTATTTTTTTAGTATTTTTATTTTTTTAGTATTTTTATTTTTTTAGTATTTTTAGTAATTTATTTTAGTATTTTTTTAATATATTTTTAGTACCTTTTTAATTATTTTTTTAGTATTTTTGTAATACTTTTTTTAAATATTTTCTTTAGTACTTCTTTAAAATATTTTTTTTTAGTATTTTCTTCTTGTATTTTTTTTATAATTTTTTAGTATATTTTATTGTATTTTTTTTTTTTTTAGTTTTTATTTTTTAATTTTTTTTAGTATTTTTTTTATTGTACTGGTATTTTCTTATTGTACTAAAATATTCTTGTATCTTCTCAGTATGTTTTAGTGTTTTCTTTGTATTTTTTAGTATTTTTGTTAGCATTTTTTTAATATTTTATTTATTTTTCTAGTATTTTTATTTTTTAGTATTTTTTTTATTGTACTTACTAATAAATTTTTTTTAGTTTTTTATTTTTTGTTTTTTTTTGTATTTTTTATTGTACAAAAGTATATTTTTTATTATTTTTCTTTTAGTATTTTTTTTATTTTTCTAGTATTTTTTTGTAATTTTTAGTATTTTCTTTTAGTATTTTTTTGGATATCTTTTTAGTTTTTTATTTTATTTATTAGTTTTTTTGACATTTTTAGTTTTTTTTTTATTTTTTTTTAGTATTTTTTTGTATTTATTTATTTATTGTAATAAAGTATTTTTTTAATTTTTGTTTAGTATTTATTTATTGTAATAAAGTATTTTTTAGTATTTAAAAAAAAAATTATTGTACTGAAGTATTTTTTTATTGTACTTAAGTATTTTTACTATGTTCTTTTAAGTATTTTTAGTATTTTGTATTTTTTTTTCAGTATTTTTTTATAGTATTTTGTTTGTTTTTCTAGTATTTTTTTATTTTCTAGAATTTTTTAATTTTTTTTAGTATTCTTTCAGTATGTTTTAGTGTGTTCTCTGTATTTTTTAGTATTTTATTTATTTTTCTAGTATTTTTATTTTTTAGTATTTTTTTATTGTACTAAAGTATTTTTTTATTGTATTTACTAATGAATTTTTTTTTTAGTATTTTATTTTTTCTTTGTATTTTTTTATTGTACTAAAGTATATTTTTTATTATTTTTCTTTTAGTATCTTTTATTTTTCTAGTATTTTTTTGTAATTTTTAGTATTTTTGTATTTTTTCTAATATTTTATTTTTTTGTAATTTTTAAAATATTTATTTTTAGTATATTTGTTTTTTATATTTTTTTTAATATTCCCTTTTATTTTCTTTAGTACTTTTTTTGTATTTTTCAAGTATTTTTAGTTTTGTTTCGTCTTTTTTTAGTATTTTTTAGTATTTTTTAGAATTATTTTATTTTTTGGTATTTTTTAAGTATTTTCTTAAAATATTTTGTTGTCTTCCCTTTTAATTTCTTTAGTACTTTTTTTTAGTATTTTTTTGTATTTTTCAGTATTTTTTAGTATTTTATTTTTTTCTAGAATTTTTTAGTAGTATTTTTTTATTGTACCGAAGTATTTTTTAGTTTATTTTTTATTACTTTAGTATTTTTCTAGTATGTTTTATTTATTTTACTAAAAGAATACTAAAAAATACAAAAAAAAAATATTATTTTATTGTACTGTTTTTTCTTTAGTGTTTTTTTTGTATTTATTTAGTATTGCGTAGTCTTCGACCTCTCTCCGATTATCTGAACTAAAATGTGAGTATCAGTATGAGCATCAGTAACTGCTCAGATTTATTTCAAAATGTCTCCCAAATCTTACCTCTTTATCTTGTATACTTTTGAAATTCTATTGGAACTAAAAAAAAAAAACAATAATAAAACTTCACAACAACCATTTATTTTTTTAGTATTTTTAGTAATTTATTTTAGTATTTTTTTAATATATTTTTAGTACCTTTTTAATTATTTTTTTAGTATTTTTGTAATACTTTTTTTAAATATTTTCTTTAAAATATTTTTTTTTTTTAGTATTTTCTTGTATTTTTTTGGATTTTTTTATAATTTTTTACTATATTTTATTGTATTTTTTTTTAGTTTTTATTTTTTATTTTTTTTAGTATTTTTTTTTATTGTACTGGTATTTTCTTATTGTACTAAAATATTCTTGTATCTTCTCAGTATGTTTTAGTGTTTTCTTTGTATTTTTTAGTATTTTTGTTAGCATTTTTTTAATATTTTATTTATTTTTATAGTATTTTTATTTTTTAGTATTTTTTTATTTTTCTAGTATTTTATGTAATTTTTAGTATTTTCTTTTAGTATTTCTTTGGATATCTTTTTAGTTTTTTATTTTATTTATTAGTTTTTTTGACATTTTTAGTTTTTTTTTTATTTTTTTAGTATTTTTTGTATTTATTTATTGTAATAAAGTATTTTTTTAATTTTTGTTTGGTATTTATTTATTGTAATAAAGTATTTTTTAGTATTTAAAAAAAAATTATTGTACTGAAGTATTTTTTTATTGTACTTAAGTATTTTTACTATGTTCTTTTAAGTATTTTTAGTATTTTGTATTTTTTTTTCAGTATTTTTTTATAGTATTTTGTTTGTTTTTCTAGTATTTTTTTATTTTCTAGAATTTTTTAATTTTTTTTAGTATTCTTTCAGTATGTTTTAGTGTTTTCTCTGTATTTTTTAGTATTTTATTTATTTTTCTAGTATTTTTATTTTTTAGTATTTTTTTATTGTACTAAAGTATTTTTTTATTGTATTTACTAATGAATTTTTTTTTTAGTATTTTATTTTTTCTTTGTATTTTTTTATTGTACTAAAGTATATTTTTTATTATTTTTCTTTTAGTATCTTTTATTTTTCTAGTATTTTTTTGTAATTTTTAGTATTTTTGTATTTTTTCTAATATTTTATTTTTTTGTAATTTTTAAAATATTTATTTTTAGTATATTTGTTTTTTATATTTTTTTTAGTATTCCCTTTTAGTTTCTTTAGTACTTTTTTTTGTATTTTTCAAGTATTTTTAGTTTTGTTTCGTCTTTTTTTAGTATTTTTTAGAATTATTTTATTTTTTGGTATTTTTTAAGTATTTTCTTAAAATATTTTGTTGTCTTCCCTTTTAATTTCTTTAGTACTTTTTTTTAGTATTTTTGAAGTATTTTTTTGTATCTTTCAGTATTTTATTTATTTTTCTAGAATTTTTTAGTAGTATTTTTTTATTGTACCGAAGTATTTTTTACTATATTTTTTATTACTTTAGTATTTTTCTAGTATGTTTTATTTATTTTACTAAAAGAATACTAAAAAATACAAAAAAAATATTATTTTATTGTACTGTTTTTTCTTTAGTATTTTTTTTGTATTTATTTAGTATTGCGTAGTCTTCGACCTCTCTCCGATTATCTGAACTAAAATGTGAGCATCAGTAACTGCTCAGATTTATTTCAAAATGTCTCCCAAATCTTACCTCTTTATCTTGTATACTTTTCAAATTCTATTGGAACTAAAAAAAAAAAAACAATAATAAAACTTCACAACAACCATTTATTAATAACCTAACATAAATACAAAATACTTGTTTTCATTTGGGAAATAGTTTTTACAATTTTGACTTAAGCCTAACTGCCCTTTCTCTTAACACTCTTCTGAGTATTTTCCCACTAGCATTTCTAGGAATTTCGTTTATAAATATCACACCACCTCGTAATCTTTTCTGCACAGATACATTGTCTTCCACAAACTTCTCCACCTCCCTTTCAGTAACATTTTTACCAGGTTTCTTTACTATAAAAGCTAATGGTAACTCTCCAGCGTCTTCATTCGGCAATCCTATCACAGCAGCATCTTGGATAGAATTATGAGTCAGCAGTAAAGCTTCCAATTCAGCTGGAGCGACTTGGAAAGCTTTGTATTTGATCAATTCTTTAAGTCTGTCGACTATAAAGAAGTACCCATCGTTATCGTAGTAAGCTACATCTCCAGTATGTAGCCAGCCATCTTTATCTATAGTACTGTGTGTGGATTGTGGATCTCCGATGTAACCTTTCATTATTAAAGGACCTTTGAAGCATATTTCGCCTTCGCTGAAAGGTCCTTGTGGGACACCGTCTTCGTTTATTACTTTCGCCATCATTCCTGGTACTATTTGTCCACAGGAACCGATTTTGCTTTTACCATGAGGTGAGACTAAGACACCAAGGGTGGTTTCTGTCATTCCGTAACCTTGAGATACATGTTGGACTTTAAATTTTTGTTTCAATTCTTGTTCCATGTCTTTACCCATTGCAGCTGCACCGCTGCGCATTTCTTTGATACAGGATAGATCGTAATGTTGCACCATTGGACTCTTTAGTAAGAATAATAATACTGGTGGTGGGACTATCAGTCTAGTAACTTTGTATTTCACTATAGCGTCTAGGAAGATTTTCGGTTTGAATTTACCTAGGACTACCATCTTTTTACCTCTGAGGAGGTTGAGGAACATTAGCATGAAGCCGAATGAATGGAAAAATGGTATCAGTCCCATCATAGCATCGCTGGGGTCGTCGTTATCGACTATTTCACCCATAATCGATCTGCTTATATCTATATAGGTAGTCATATTATCGTGGGTGCACATTACACCTTTTGGTAAACCTGTTGTACCTGATGAACATAAAATAGTTGCTACAGTTTGTACTGGATCAAGAGGTACCGTCTCGTAATCTTCGTCTATTTCCTCAACTAAAAAATATATTAATAAATAATAACAATTCTTGAAGGTACAATTTGGGAAAGCGAATACGACAGGCAGCAAATACGCTCTGATACTGGTGTTAAAGTGCTTTGTATAATGTGATTTAGACGTAAAGAGGCGCCGTATGCGTCCGCTTGCCTCGGTCGCGTGCGGACGAAAAAAAAATTGAAAAGAAAAACAAGAAAAATCATGAAAAAAAAAAGGAAAAATCAAGAAAAAAGCTAATAGAAAAAGCCAAGAAAAACCAAGAAAAAATGCCAAGAAAAATAAAACAAGAAAGAAGAGAAACAAGAAAAAACAAAAAGAAAAATCAAGAGAAAAACAAGAAAGAAAAATAAACAAGAAATAAAAAAAAAAACAAAAAATAACATAAGAAAAAACCAAAAAAACACGAAAAAACAAAAATCGAAAAAGAAAACAAAAGAAAAAACAAGAAAAATCATGAAAAAAAAGAAAGGAAAAATCAAGAAAAAAGCTAAGAGAAAAAGCCAAGGAAAACCAAGAAAAAAAGCCAAGAAAAAAAACAAAAAAAAAAACAAGAAAAATGTCAAGAATAATAAAACAAGAAAGAAGAAAAACAAGAAGAAACAAGAAAGAAAAAATCAAGTGAAAAAAAATAAGAAAAAATTAAAAAAAAAAGGAAAAAAATAAGAAAAAATCAAGAAAAATCAAGCAAAAACAAGAAAAACAAAACAGGAAAAAAAGCAAAACAAGAAAAAAACAATTTATTATCATTTATTTTTATTAATTTGCCCATTTTAATTACTTTCCTATCTATATACAGATAAGGAAAGTATAGGAATCATGAATTTTTTCGACCTCGAGTTTTCGACGGAATTTTACGTTTTGGGGTACCCTGTATCCATTTTGACTATTTTCGCGATGATGTCTGTGTGTCTGTATCCACGATAACTCAAGAACGGGTACAAAGAAAAACACCAAATTTTAAAATTATGCTTTATTCCGGCCTGCGGTGAACTGATTAGATTTTGAGCAGAGTCTGAACAGCTGGGGGGTACTTTATAGGGGGTCATTTTTATATTTTATGAAATATATCTGTTATTTACGTTTGGAGAAGAAAATTCTTTAAATAAAAGTTATTTCTAATAATATTCTCTATAATTTTTGTTCTATGCACAATTTCTCTAAAATGGACCGTATTCGAGATATTTGTGAATAAGTGTAAATTTTGAATAAAACTCAAAAACGGATAAAGAAGAAACCCTTAAATTTTAAACTTAAGCTTTATTCTGACCTTAGGTGCACTGATTAGAGAAGAAATTGGAGAAGAAAATTCTTTAAATAAAATTTACTTCTAATATTATTCTCTATAATTTTTGTTTTATACATAATTTCTCTAAAATGGACCGTATTCGAGATATTTGTAAAAAAGTGTAAATTTCGAATTTTGAAGAAAACTCAAAAACGGATAAAGAAAAACACCCTAATTTTTAAACTTAAGCTTTATTCTGACCTGAGATGCACTGATTATATTTTGGACAGAGTCGGAACATCTAGGAGGGTAGTTTATAGGGGGTTATTTTTATATTTTATAAAATATCTCTGTTATTTACGTTTGGAGAAGAAAATTCTTTAAATAAAAGTTACTTCTAATATTATTCTCTATAATTTTTGTTTTATACATAATTTCTCCAAAATGGACCGTATTCGAGATATTTGTAAAAAAGTGTAAATTTCGAATTTTGAAGAAAACTCAAAAACGGATAAAGAAAAACGCCCTAATTTTTAAACTTAAGCTTTATTCTGACCTGAGATGCACTGATTATATTTTGGACAGAGTCGGAACATCTAGGAGGGTACTTTATAGGGGGTTATTTTTATATTTTATGAAATATCTCTGTTATTTACGTTTGTAGAAGAAAATTCTTTAAATAAAAGTTACTTCTAATATTAATCTCTATAATTTTTGTTTTATACATAATTTCTCTAAAATGGACCGTATTCGAGATATTTGTAAAAAAGTGTAAATTTCGAATTTTGAAGAAAACTCAAAAACGGATAAAGAAAAACGCCCTAATTTTTAAACTTAAGCTTTATTCTGACCTGAGATGCACTGATTATATTTTGGACAGAGTCGGAACATCTAGGAGGGTACTTTATAGGGGGTTATTTTTATATTTTATGAAATATCTCTGTTATTTACGTTTGGAGAAGAAAATTCTTTAAATAAAATTTACTTCTAATATTATTCTCTATAATTTTTGTTTTATACATAATTTCTCTAAAATGGACCGTATTCGAGATATTTGTAAAAAAGTGTAAATTTCGAATTTTGAAGAAAACTCAAAAACGGATAAAGAAAAACACCCTAATTTTTAAACTTAAGCTTTATTCTGACCTGAGATGCACTGATTATATTTTGGACAGAGTCTGAACATCTAGGAGGGTACTTTATAGGGGGTTATTTTTATATTTTATAAAATATCTCTGTTATTTACGTTTGGAGAAGAAAATTCTTTAAATAAAAGTTACTTCTAATATTATTCTCTATAATTTTTGTTTTATACATAATTTCTCTAAAATGGACCGTATTCGAGATATTTGTAAAAAAGTGTAAATTTCGAATTTTGAAGAAAACTCAAAAACGGATAAAGAAAAACACCCTAATTTTTAAACTTAAGCTTTATTCTGACCTAAGATGCACTGATTAGATTTTGAGCAGAGTCGCAACATCTAGGAGGGTACTTTATAGGGGGTTATTTTTATATTTTATGAAATATCTCTGTTATTTACGTTTGGAGAAGAAAATTCTTTAAATAAAAGTTATTTCTAATAATATTCTCTATAATTTTTGTTCTATGCACAATTTCTCTAAAATGGACCGTATTCGAGATATTTGTAAAAAAAAGTAAATTTTGAATTTTGAAGAAAACTCAAAAACGGATAAAGAAGAAAACCTTAAATTTTAAACTTAAGCTTTATTCTGACCTTAGGCGCACTGATTAGATTTTGAGCAGAGTAGCAACATCTAGGAGGGTACTTTATAGGGGGTTATTTTTATATTTTATGAAATATCTCTGTTATTTACGTCTGGAGAAGAAAATTCTTTAAATAAAAGTTACTTCTAATATTATTCTCTATAATTTTTGTTTTATACATAATTTCTCTAAAATGGACCGTATTCGAGATATTTGTAAAAAAAGTGTAAATTTCGAATTTTGAAGAAAACTCAAAAACGGATAAAGAAAAACACCCTAATTTTTAAACTTAAGCTTTATTCTGACCTGAGATGCACTGATTATATTTTGGACAGAGTCGGAACATCTAGGAGGGTACTTTATAGGGGGTCATTTTTATATTTTATGAAATATATCTGTTATTTACGTTTGGAGAAGAAAATTCTTTAAATAAAAGTTACTTCTAATATTATTCTCTATAATTTTTGTTTTATACATAATTTCTCTAAAATGGACCGTATTCGAGATATTTGTAAAAAAGTGTAAATTTCGAATTTTGAAGAAAACTCAAAAACGGATAAAGAAAAAAACCTTAAATTTTAAACTTAAGCTTTATTCTGACCTGAGATGCACTGATTATATTTTGGACAGAGTCGGAACATCTAGGAGGGTACTTTATAGGGGGTTATTTTTATATTTTATGAAATATCTCCGTTATTTACGTTTGTAGAAGAAAATTCTTTAAATAAAAGTTATTTCTAATACTATTCTCTACAATTTTTATTCTATACAAAATTTTCCTAAAATGGTCCGTATTCGAGATATTTAACAAAATGTCTATTACAAACTAGTAATTTTATTTACATCCCCAACTTTTGGTGTAACTTATTTTCTACTCCAATTAAACACAAAAACTAACTAAATTACTCACCTTCAGCACCTTTCACAATATCATCATATCTGACAACACCAGCATAACTGCAAGGCTCATCACCAAATAATACCAACTTTTCCACATAGGGATGATCAGGTAAAATCGATACAATCTTATCAATAGTTTTACTGGAGCAAAATATTAATTTAGGTTTTGATAAACCTAATACATGTTTCAATTCACGTGGGGTATAATCTGGATTCAATGGGGCGAAAGTAGCACCAGAAAATAAAGTTGCAACTGGGACTATACAAAATTCCAATCTATTCTCACTGTTTATAGAAATATTATCGTTTACTTTTATTCCTTGGTGTAATAACCATTTCGCTAGCTTAGTTGATTTTTTTAATAGCAAACTAGCTGGTAATTCCTCTCCAGTTTCGCCATCTACTTGAAGAATATTATCTTCGAATGATTTAAGAAGTCTAAGTAGTAATTCTCCTAAAGGTATATCAATTAATCGCTCTAATTCAGCCCCGATCACTATATTTTGCGCATTTTGAGGCGCCATTGCGTTATTATATTAATAAATAATTAAATACTGTGCAAAAATCAATACTTTGTTTTACTAAACTTAATAAAAGTGCAACCTTCTAATGATAAATTTTTCGAGTGTAATTTACGTGATAAGAAATGAATAGGTGTTTTAAATAATCCTTGAACTTTCCTTTATAGCTTCAAATTCCATTTTTATTAATTTTTATATTTTTTATCTTAACTGCCCATGATCAATCGATAAATAAAATAGGATTACCTCATGATTGGCTAATCTTTTCAGCTTCTGGTACATTTTTAAGTTTCTAACTTTGATTGTGTTATATATTTTTTAAATGAAGACTAAATATATTATTATAATTTGATAATTTTTATATAAACTATTTTTTTAAATCGTTACGAAAATAAATAACTGATTACCTAACTAGATAGTAGGCATGGTTCTAAAAATAAAAAGAAGAAGAAGGGTGAGTAGGAACAATGACAGTGGCGTGAAATTTAGAGGGGATGAAGGTGATACTTACTTAGATGAGTAAGGGGTCTATTCTGTAACAATTCCTTTATATTTTGACGGAATTTAAAAATATTTTCTTCTTTAAACCTGTCATTATTTAAAATACATTAAAGCAGTGGTCGCCAACCTCTCAATGTGTTGAGCTACTTTGTTAATTTTGGAATAAACAGCGAGCTACCAACACGGAAGCCACGTAACGCAACGTAAATGAAATAATCCACAGTTAATTTATCATTATATGTATTTATTTTACTATTTAACTGGTAATACATAATACATAGGTACTAATAATAAAAAAATAACAAAATAACTATTATTACTAGTACGTACTTGTTCATAGCTACATTCCTACCTACCAAATGAAGGTGTTTGAAAAATAAACACAACGGCATGTCACGTAAGATTTAAAAATAGTTAATAATAACAACAAAAAAGTAACGCACTATCATGAACATAAACATTGAAAAATAAAAAAGCACGTTCAATGAGAAGGCTGACACACAGACCCATCGATAATTTTTTTAATGTTTGCAGTATAATTTGATACAGCCATTCGAATACAATAATCCAAATGTTCATCTGAAAGTCGATTGCGATATTTGTTCTTAATAAACTTCATATTGGGAAAAGAAGATTCACACAAATAGGTTGAACATGGGTTGAACTGAATAATGCTTTCACTTTCAAGACAACACGGCATAGAACTGAATATTTGTCTTTACTTACAATAGGCCAGATACATTTGGTACTTGAGACTAACGATTTTAAGGCTAAATCATTTTGAAACTCAATTACTTCCATTTCTGTTGCAGCGATGTCTTCGCCAAAGTTCTTCATAACACAAGTTGCAAACTGTTGGATATCAATTTCCATAAAGGGTGAAACAACAAACTGCGCTACTAAAGCCATTTCGTTGAAATCCTTAAAACGATTTTTGAAGTTATTCTTCAGGGTAGAAACTATAGAACATCATTAAAACGTTTTGAGCACCCGTCCTCTACTTAACCATCGGACTTCAAAGTGAAGGAATAGGTTCCCGTATTGACAGTCAACTTCATCAGCGGAAAAGTTTCATCTTTACGACATAACGCCACCAGACCCTTATCACAACCCACCATAGCTAGAGCGCCATCGGTTGTCAAGCCTACCATTTTCGATATTGGAATTTTCTCGGAAGAAATAATATTTTTTAAATGATAAAACAACTCCTGTCCAATAGTGTGTCCTTTCAGTGAAATAAACTTCAAAAGATCTTCTTTAATCATAAAATCACTAAAAACCATCCTGACGAACACGGCCATCTGGGCAGTGTCAACGACATCTGTTGATTCATCCAGTTGAAGTGAAAAAAAAAAACACAGTTATCTAAGTCAGTTCTTAACTGTAAAAAATATCATTGCTCATTACTTCTACACGTCTCATCACTGTATTAGCAGAAAGTTGCATAGATTTTATAGCTGAAACTATCTCGTCTTTATTTCTAAAGTTGGCAAATAACGAATCAGCAGCTTCTAAAAACGCCTGTTTTATCATTTCCCCAGTCTTCATAAGGTTTCTTTTTTTGTGCAATTATCTGGGACACACGGTACGATGCTTCAGTTGCAGCCTTATTTTTGTCGACTGTTCTTAAAAATATTGATTGTTGTCCAATTAACTATTTTTTTAACTGTTTCAGTTTCTCCTTTCTGGCGGCAGAATGTAGTGGGAATGATTTTTCAAAATTATAATGTACAGTTTTATGATGTCTCTCAATATTTCCTTTTTTAGCAACGGAGACCGAAGTATTACATAACAAACACACATTTTTATCTTTAACTTCTGTCAAAAAGTATTGTTCTATTGTTCTTCCCATTCCGAATGAAAGTGGTATGTCTTTACATTCTTACAACCATTTTCGATATTGGAATTATCTCGGAAGAAATAATATTTTTTAAATGAGAAAACAACTCCTGTCCAGTAGTGTGTCCTTTTAGTGGAATAAACTTCAAAAGATCTTCTTTAATCGTAAATTCACTAAAAACCATCCTGACGAACACGGCCATCTAGGCAGTGTCAACGACATTTTTAGACGTTTTCAACGGTTTTTTAAATGGTTTTACACGTTTTTCAACTTTTTTTTTAACAGTTTTAGACATTTTTGACGTTTTTCAACGTTTTCATTACTTTTTTTTAGACATTTTAAGACGTTTTCCAACATTTTTTAACATTCTAATAACCTTTTTAGACGTTTCTCGACGTTTTCCAACGTTTTTTTATGTTTTCAATGTTTTTTATAACATTTCCAGACGTTTTTCAAAGGTTTTCAACGTTTTAATGGTTCTGCACATTTTTCAACGTTTTTCAACTTTTTTTTGACGTTTTTTATAACATTTTTAGTCGATTTTCGACGTTTTTCAACATTTTTATCGGTTTTAGACGTTTTTCAACGATTTTTAATGTTTTTCAACGTTTTTAATAACATTTTTGTCGTTTTCCAACGTGTTTAAATGATTTTCAACGTTTTTTATATTTTTAGACATTTTTTTACGGGTTTCAAGGTGTTTCGACGTTTTTTATAATATTTTTGGACGTTTATCTAAGTTATCTAAGTCAGTTCTTAACTGCAAAAAAATATCATTACTCATTACTTCTGCACGTCTCATTACTGTATTAGCAGAAAGTTGCATAGATTTTATAGCTGAAACTATCTCGTCTTTATTTCTAAAGTTGGCAAATAACGAATCAGCAGCTTCTAAAAACGCCTGTTTTATCATTTCCCCAGTCTTCATAAGGTTTCTTTTTTTGTGCAATTATCTGGGACACACGGTACGATGCTTCAGTTGCAGCCTTATTTTTGTCGACTGTTCTTAAAAATATTGATTGTTATCCAATTAACTGCTTTTTTAACTGTTTCAGTTTCTCCTTTCTGGTGGCAGAATGTAGTGGGAATGATTTTTCAAAATTAGAATGTACAGTTTTATGATGTCTCTCAATATTTCCTTTTTTAGCAACGGAGACCGAAGTATTACATAACAAACACACATTTTTATCTTTAACTTCTGTAAAAAAGTATTGTTCTTCCCATTCCGAATGAAAGTGGTATGTCTTTACCTTCTTACAACTGCTTGCCATAATATTATTTTTTGTTGTTCTCTACTAACCCAACCGCTGGATGTTGGTTACGCGTTCAGTTTTAAACTAAGCGCAATGTCGCCGCGACGTGCGTATTTATCCCGTTCAAAGCAATCCTGATCGTTCTCGAACACTAACGCCAATGTTGCCAGTTTATTACAATTGTAACAAATCTATTACATTTATGAAGGGTTTATTACATTTCCAGTAAATATATTACATCTTCAGTAAATCTATTTTCAGTATATCTATTACATTTTCATAAATCTATTACATTTTCACTAAATCTTATTACAATTTTCACGAACCTAACGATTTAACGTAACCGTGTTGTCTGGATTTTGATTTTATCGTTTACTCCAAACAAATAATATAATAATAAGACGTACTGATTTACATTTTTATGGTCAGGGGGTAATTTGGTTATTAATTAATAATGGATTTAGTTTTTGTAGCTATGTTTGTGTAGAGATGTTCTGATATTTTTGCAAACAGATTTTAATTTTATATTATAAATAACTTATTAAATTTGTGATAAAGAAACCAAAAGCTGTGACTACCGCTATTTACACAAATAGTGCAAAAAATCAAAGAAAGAAAAAACACATTTTACGTTGACTGAAACTATTACATTTTCCTTAAATTTATTACAATTTTGAGAGCTCCTCTAGTACATTCCTTCGGAATGCTCTGGCAACACTGACTAACGCACTGATCCGGCTGGATAGCTATTCACTAATTATAAAATATGTCAATTCTTATTATTTATCAATTTTTTTCATATAATTTTTTCCATATTTTAAAAAATGAGTAACTATGTCCTAATTCTCATTTTCTGACATCCCCCTAGTTGCAATACCCCTCCCGAAATGTTAATTTTACCCCAAACAATATTTTACGTTGCACAAAATGTAATTACTAAAAATCTTAACAACCCCCCAAATAAAATAATTGGTTACGCCGTTGTGCTAGCTGCTTGTCGATTCAAGTTCAAGACCACACAACAGCTGTTAAAAAGAAGATTAACTTTCCCAAGTGTTATGTCAATAATTTATGAATCATCCAATAATTTTTCATTTTTGTTTGGAAAATGATAAATTTCAAACGTTTTTTCGAAATAAACAATGTCTGATATTAATTTAAACGTACGTTAAATCCACCGAATAATATTCCATCTATATCAAAGTCACACATTTTGAGGTTAAATCATTCAGACTTGTTTTTCTTGTTTCAGAACTACAATAACAGTGATACGGAGAGCTCTGAAGATGAAATTGAACCCAAATTGAAATATGTAAGGCTATCAAATGATGTACAACAGATTTTACTGACTTCTTCGGCGACATGCATTGCAGTACACCCAAAGGTAAATAGTTTTCTCTTAACTTTTTACAAGTGTCATTTTAATTGATTTTAACTGTATTTACAAGAAATATTAAATGTACTACGTATTGTATATACCTACTTTAATGAACAAATAACTTCTAAATATATTTAAGAGTGATTTTGTTGTTCATTTTAAACAATTAGGGATTTATAACTTCAACACTCTGTATCTCAAAATCTAGTTATAGAAAATGATTGAGCCCTTGAAAACTGTTGATTAAATTGAGATATTTTGATGATACTTCTCTTTAAATAAGAAAATTCCTTTAATTACTTTGAATAATAAATATTTTTTATGAAATTACAATCTTAAAACTAGTTATAACCTATTTTTTCTAATATTTTAGTTCATTTGCCTGGGTTCGCATTGGGGCGTGATCCACATATTAGATTACCAAGGTAACAGTATAGAAGGCAAAGATTTGAAAGCACACACTGTTAGCGTGAATCATATTTCGATAGATATTAATGGGGAATTTATAGCAACTTGTTCAGACGATGGGAGAGTTTTTATACATAGCTTGTTTTCCAAGGAAAACAATGTACATCTCAATTTAGGAAGGCTCGTGAAGACTATAGCTTTAGATCCTTATTATTTCAAATTTGGAACGAATAAGAGGTTCATTACAGGTAACTTTTATTAATAATCAGTAGAAGAGAAGCCACTTGACTCCACTTTCATTGATTTTTCCCCAGATCTGGGGAAATTTGAGGATGTGGCAACGTCGCATTACCATTTACTTCATGTAATGCGAGGTTGCCACATCCTCAAATTTCCCCAGATCTGGGGAAAAATCAATGAAAGTGGAGTCAAGTGGTTTCTCTTCTACTATAATAAGTTTATTTATTGAGGAGAATTACGTAGAGTAGTTTTGGGAAATATAGCTGCAACTTCACCTATATGTTGGAAATAATATATGATGTTTGAAGATGAATTAAAGGGGATGATGTATTCCAAAACTATTTTATTTGTTTGTTAAAAAACAAAAATTAAAGCGTTTTTAACTTATCTATATAAAAAATCTATTTATTTCAATAAAATGTTTATTTACTGCAATTTTACAATCTTAGTCCAATTAAATAGATCTTTAAATCAAAATTTTGGAGGAAATACAAGTATTTTTGATATAAGAGAATTTAAAAATGATATGTAAGTAAATTTTGTTTTTCCTGCCCAGGTAGGTGGTGAAAAACATGAAAATAAAGTGTTTTTCTAAGGTTATTTAAAAACGGTAGGGGATATAAAAAAAATTTCTTAATAACAATTGTAAAGCATAAAATTTTGCACAAAAATGATGTTTAGCATTTTTTGCTATTATCAAAATTAACATAGTTATGGTGGTTAGAAAACCAAGAAAAAAAGCCAAGAAAAACAAAAAAAGAAGAAAAACCAAGAAAGAAAAAAATTAAGGAAAAAACAAGAGAAAGAAAAAAATTAAGGAAAAAACAAGAGAAAGAAAAAACAAGAAAGAAAAACAAGAAAGAAAAAGAAAAGAAAAAAACGCCTTAAACCGTTAAAAAACGTTGAAAAACGTCTTAAAATGTTATAAAAAAATGTTGGAAAATGTCGAAAAACGTCTAAAAATGTTATTAAAAAACGTTGAAAACCGTCTAAACCGTTGAAAAACATTGAAAAACGTCTAAAAATGTTATTAAAAAACGTTGAAAACCATCTAAAATGTTGAAAAACATCGAATAACGTCTAAAAATGTTATTAAAAAACGTTGAAAACCGTCTAAACCGTTGAAAAACATTGAAAAACGTCTAAAAATATTATAAAAACTTTGGAAAACGTCTTAAAATGTTATAAAAACAATGGAAAACGTCTAAAAATGTTATAAAAAACGTTGAAAAACGTATAAAACCGTTAAAAAACGTTGAAAAACGTCGAAAATAATTGAAAAACGTCTAAAAATGTTATAATAAACGTTGAAAAACATTGAGAAATGTCGAAAAACGTCTAAAAATGTTATTAAAAAACGTTGAAAACCGTCTAAACCGTTGAAAAACATCGAAAAACGTCTAAAAATATTATAAAAACTTTGGAAAACGTCTTAAAATGTTATAAAAACGTTGGAAAACGTCTAAAAATGTTATAAAAAACGTTGAAAAAATATATAAAACCGTTAAAAAAACGTTGAAAAACGTCGAAAATAATTGAAAAACGTCTAAAAATGTTATAAAAAACGTTGAAAAACATTGAGAAACGTTGAAAAACGTCTAAAAATGTTATAAAAAAACGTGTGAAACGTTGAAAAACGTCTAAAACAGTAAAAAACTTCTAAAATTTTTGTAAAAATATATTGAAAAACATTGAAAATCGTTGGAAAACCACGAAAAACGTCTAAAAATGTTATAAAAACGTTGAAAAACGTTGAGAAACGTCGAAAACGTCTAAAAATGTTATAATAAACGTTGGAAAACGTCTAAAAATGTTATAAAAAACGTTGAAAAACATATAAAACCGTTAAAAAAAACGTTGAAAAACGTCGAAAATAATTGAAAAACGTTGAAAATAATTGAAAAACGTCTAAAAATGTTATAATAAACGTTGAAAAACATTGAGAAATGTCGAAAAACGTCTAAAAATGTTATTAAAAAACGTTGAAAACCGTCTAAACCGTTGAAAAACATCGAAAAACGTCTAAAAATATTATAAAAACTTTGGAAAACGTCTTAAAATGTTATAAAAACGTTGGAAAACGTCTAAAAATGTTATAAAAAACGTTGAAAATGTATAAAACCGTTAAAAAAACCTTGAAAAACGTCGAAAATAATTGAAAAACTTTGAAAATAATTGAAAAACGTCTAAAAATGTTATAAAAAACGTTGAAAAACATTGAGAAACGTTGAAAAACGTCTAAAAATGTTATAAAAAAACGTTGAAACGTTGAAAAACGTCTAAAACAGTAAAAAACTTCTAAAATTTTTGTAAAAATATATTGAAAAACATTGAAAATCGTTGGAAAACCACGAAAAATGTTATAAAAACGTTGAAAAACGTTGAGAAACGTTGAAAACGTCTAAAAATGTTATAATAAACGTTGGAAAACGTCCAAAAATGTTATAAAAAACGTTGAAAAACATATAAAACCGTTAAAAAAACGTTGAAAAACGTCGAAAATAATTGAAAAACGTTGAAAATAATTGAAAAACGTCTAATTTTTTTTATAAAAAACGAAAAACATTGAGAAACGTTGAAAAACGTCTAAAAATGTTATAAAAAACGTTGAAACGTTGAAAAACGTCTAAAACAGTAAAAAACGTCTAAAATTTTTGTAAAAATATATTGAAAAACATTGAAAATCGTTGTAAAACCACGAAAAACGTCTAAAAACGTTATAAAAACGTTGGAAAAACGTTGAGAAACGTTGAGAAACGTCGAAAACGTCTAAAAATGTTATAATAAACGTTTAAAAACGTTGGAAACGTCGGAAAACGTCTAAAAATGTTATAAAAAACGTTGGAAAACGTCAGAAAACGCCTAAAAATTTCATAAAAACGTTGAAAAACATTGAAAACGTTGGAAACGTCGAAAAACGTCGAAAAACGTCTAAAACCGTTAAAAAAGAAAAAAAGAAAGAAAAATAAACAAGAAAGAAAAAGAAAGGAAAAAAAAGATAAACAAAGCTACTACGAGGACTCATAGGGAATTCAATGTGTAAGAGTGTTTTAACTTTGTAAACTGGTGTGTAAAGAAATTTTAGAAAATATTTACAAAAATGTGCCATCAGGACTTCACTTGTGACACCCCGTATCTCGACCGTCTAATTTCGGGACACCCTGTATTGAAAATTTATGAATTAAAATTGTTATAATTTTTCTGAAAGGAAAGTTTATATTTTTCTTAGTAAATGATAAAGAGAAACTAAAAATCATTGAATTTTCAGCTTGCTATATTTCTAACTCTCTTAATTCTAACCATCCTAACTCTGTTAGTTTTGATAATAGCAAAAAATGCTAAATATCATTTTTATGCAAAACGTTTTTCAACGTTTTTTAATAACATTTTTCGACGTTTTTCAACGGGTTTTTCAAATGTTTTAGACGTTTTTCAATGTTTTTCGACGTTTTTCAATGTTTTTCGACATTTTTCAATGTTTGTCAACGTTTTTTATAACATTTTTAGACGTTTGTCAAGATTTTTCAACGTTTTTCGACATTTTCAACGTTTAAAAAACTTGAAAAACGTATCATTTTTATACAAAACGTTTTTTTATAACATTTTTCAACGGTTTTTTCAAATGTTTTAGACGTTTTTCAATGTTTTTCAACGTTTTTTATAACATCTTTAGGTTTGTCAAGGTTTTTCGACATTTTCAACTTTTAAAAAACTTGAAAAACGCCCAAAAATGTTATAAAAAAACCGTTTAAAAACGTCGAAAAACGTCGAAAAAACGTTGAAAAACCTCTAAAAATGTTATTAAAAAGTTGAAAAACGTCTAAAAATGTTATTAAAAACGTAGAGAAAAACTTTGAAAAACGTCGACAAACGTCTAAAACCGTTAAAAACAAGTTGAAATCAAATAATTTTTCTAAAAGGAAAGTTTATATTTTTGAAAAACAATATATATCGTTTTCAAATACTCTAAAGTGATTTATATCAAAAATTCTTGCATTTAAAGGTCTATTTGACTGACCTAATCTAGTACATAATAGGTAATTGGTAGAAATCTCTTATAAATATTCTAGCTAGATTGTTCTTCTAATGATAGGTTGAATAGGTTTTTGATTTTTTTGGACTGTGCATCGGTTTGTATATTTGTTTTTACGAGTTTTGAGAACATCATTGATGTATTATAACCTCAAATCATTATATATATTTTCATTTGAAACATACCATGAATCAGTGATCAAAAATTTTTTTTACTAAGTAACTCAAAAAAAAAACATTCTAGAATCCTCTAGAATGTTTTGTATCCCGCTAGAAAAATTTTACCTAAGAAATTCAAATTCTCAATACCTTAGAGATGTCTACGAATATTTCTAAATTGATTTAAACTTTGTTTCTTATATATATTTATATATTTAGGCGATGACAAGCTGACGCTGTACGAACGCACATTCCTCGGAAATTTAAAGCCTACAATTCTTTGTGACAGCGAAGGCTTGGTCAGAAGCCTGTGCTGGGGGGAGAATTTTCTAGCATGGTCCAGCAATATCGGCGTAAGAGTCTACGATATGACAGCTAGATGTTCCTTAGGGCTCATCAAATGGGAAGAACATCCCAGGTAATAATATTTCACAATAATAATTATATTAGAACAAGTTTTGTATCATTGATTAGAGTGTTTGAGCTGTCGAATGTCAAACTTGCAGAATTTTTGGTCATCTTATATAGTTTGAAGGCTGATTTGAAGTTGTTGTTTTTTATTAGGTATATTTTTGTGCAGTATTGATTATATTATAGTCCCAAATCAGTAAGTAATGGGCCACTTGGAAGCCCCTCCACCACTCCTCTTTTTTTGTTTTACAACGTTTTTAACGCTTTTGAATGGTTTTCAACGTTTCTTATAACATTTTTAGAAGTTTTTCGACGTTTTCCAATGTTTTTCAACGTTTTTTACAACATTTTTCAATGGTTTTAGACGTTTTTAACGTTTTTCGACGATTTTAACGGTTTTCAATGATTTTCAACGTTTCTTATAACATTTTTAGACGTTTTTCAGCGTTTTTCAATGTTTTCAACGTTTTTATAACATTTTTCAGGCGTTTTCCAACGTTTTTAAATGGTTTTCAACGTTTTTTAATAACATTTTTCGACGTTTTCAAGGGGTTTTCAACGGTTTTAGACGTTTTTCAAGGTTTTTTTCAACAGTTTTAGACGTTTTTAACGTTATTGAATGTTTTTCAACGTTTGTTATAACATTTTTTGGCGTTTTTTCAATGTTTTTCAACGTTTTTCAATGTTTTTCAACGTTTTTAAATGTTTTTCAACGTTTTTATAACATTTTTAGATGTTTTTCGACGTTTCCCGTTTTTTAAATATTTTTCAACGTTTTTTACCTTTTTCAACGGTTTTAGACGTTTTTAACGTTTTTCGACGATTTTAACGGTTTTAAATGTTTTTCAACGTTTCTTATAACATTTTTAGAAGTTTTTCGACGTTTTCCAATGTTTTTCAACGTTTTTATAACATTTTTCAGGCGTTTTCCAACGTTTTTAAATGGTTTTCAACGTTTTTTAATAACATTTTTCGACGTTTTCAAGGGGTTTTCAACGGTTTTAGACGTTTTTCAAGGTTTTTTTCAACAGTTTTAGACGTTTTTAACGTTATTGAATGTTTTTCAACGTTTTTTATAACATTTTTTGGCGTTTTTCAATGTTTTTCAACGTTTTTCAATGTTTTTAACGTTTTTAAATGTTTTTCAACGTTTTTATAACATTTTTAGACGTTTTTCGACGTTTCCCGTTTTTTAAATATGTTTTCAACGTTTTTTACCTTTTTCAACGGTTTTAGACGTTTTTAACGTTTTTCGACGATTTTAACGGTTTTAAATGTTTTTCAACGTTTCTTATAACATTTTTAGACGTTTTTCGGCGTTTTTTTAAAAGTTTTTCAACGTTTTTATAACATTTTTCGACGTTTTTCGGCGTTTTCCAACGTTTTTCAATGGGTTTCAACGTTTTTTAATAACATTTTTAGTCGTTTTTCAACATTTTTCAATGTTTTCAAACATTTTTCAATGTTTTCAACGTTTTTTATAGCATTTTTAGACGTTTTTCGACATTTTTAGTCTATTGTCAACGTCGAAGAGCGTTGAAAAACCTTGAAAAACGTCTAAAAATGTTATAAAAAACGTTGAAAAACATTGGAAAACGTTTAAAAATGTTATAAACAGTTAAAAAACATTGAAAAAGTCGAAAAACGTCTAAAAATTTAATAAAAAAAAGTTGAAAAACGTCGAAAAACGTTTAAAAATGTTATAAGAACGCTGAAAAACGTCGAAAAACAAAACGGTTATAAAAAACGTTAAAAACATCTAAAACAATTAAAAAAAACGTTGAAGAACGTCGAAAAACGTATAAAAATGTTATAAAAAAAACGTTGGAAAACGATGAAAAACGTCTAAAAATGTTATATAAAAAAAAAACGTTGAAAAACATTGAAAAACTTCGAAAAACATAAAACGGTTACAAAAAACGTTAAAAACGTCTAAAACAATAAAAAAAAGTAGAAGAACGTCGCAAAACGTCCAAAAATGTTATAAAAAACGTCGAAAAATGTTATAAAAAAACGTTGAAAAACGTCTAAACCGTTGGAAAACGTCTAAAAATGTTATAAAGAACGTTGAAAAACGTCTGAAACCGTTGAAAAACGTTAAAAACGTCTAAAAATGTTATAAAAAAATATTGAAAAACACTGAAAAACGTTGAAGAACGTCGAAAAACGTCAAAAAACGTCGAAAAAAAGGCTGGTAAAAACAGGAGTGGCTCCCAAGTAGCCCATTATCTATTCAAATCAATAAAATTCAACCATACGAATTATTATTAATACCTTTCTCATCAGTATCCTATATTATTTATTCCTTTTAATATATTATAGTTCCAAATCAGTAGGTAATTGGCCACTTGGGAGCCCCTCCATCACTTCACTTTTTATCAGCCGTTTTCTACATTTTTCAACGTTGAAAAACGATTAAAAACGTTGAAAAATTTTGAAAAGCGTCTAAAACCGTTCAAAAAACGTTAAGAAACGTTGAAAAATGGCTGGTAAAAAGTGTATTTGGTGGAAGGGCTCCCAAATGGCCCATTACCTACTCAAATCAATAAAATTCAACTATACAATTTAATATTAATATCTATTTAAAGACAGAAAATAAACCTTATTGGCCTGACTTCTTTTAATGTCGCACCATTTAGCAACTTTCTCATTTGTATCCTATAACATTTATTCTTACTTTCTGTGGTAAATAGACTTGCATGTCTGATGCCATCCCATTAATAAAAAAAAAAAATTTATTCCTTTTAATACGAAGACAATATTTGTTCTTAAACCATAAATTTTACAGATAAAATCTTATCTGATGGTTTACAGGTTAGGAAAATAGTATACGAGCCATACGGTTTACTCAACCCTACGGTTCCTATACTTTTTTCCTAGCCTGTATTTCCTTTTTTTGCATTTAAAAATAACTGGTTATTTTTGCTTTATATTTTAGCGGTTCCATAGACAAATTTAGGTGTAACTTGAGATGGGCGGATAGCAGAACTCTACTGATAGGCTGGGTGGATACGGTTAGAGTGTGCGTAATAAGAAAACGAAGCAATATAGAATTGGCGAACAGAGATTTGCCTGAATATTTAGTCGATCCAGGTAAGAAATATATTTAATTTTTATTATTTTTTTGTACTTTTTTTTAACCGACTTCAAAAAAGGAGGAAATTCTCAAATTTTCAATCCGTCAGATATTTTTTCTTTTATTTATTTTTTCTTTTTCTTTATTTTTTTTTTCTTGTTTGTTTTTTATAATCTTTCTTGTTTCTCTTGTTTTTTTCTTGGTTTTTTTTTTTTTTTTTTTTTTCCTTTTTATTTCTTGTTTTTTTTTTCGACGTTTTACAACGTTTTTCAATGTTTTCAACGGTTTATAACATTTTTCGACGGTTTTAACGTTTTCATCGTTTTTTAAGCGGTTTTAGACGTTTTTCAACGTTGTTAAATGTTTTTCAACGGTTTTTATAACATTTTTCGACACTTTCAACGGTTTTAGATGTTTTTCGATGTTTTTCAACATTTTTCTATGTTTTTCAACGTTTCTATAACATTTTTCGACTTTTTCCAACGTTTTTCAATGTTTTTTTTAACGTTTTTATAAACATTTTCAACGGTTTTAGACGTTTTTTCGACGTTTTTAACGCTTTTGAATGTTTTCAACGTTTATTATAAAGTTTTTAGACGTTTTACAATGTTTTTTTCAACGTTTTTTATAACATTTTAAAACTTTTTTTCGACATTTTCCAACGTTTTTTATAACATTTTTCTTCGTTTTTAAACGTTTTTTCGATGTTTTTAACGGTTTTCAATGTTTTAACGTTTCTTATAATATTTTTAGACACGTTTTTTTGGCGTTTTTTTTTAAATGTTTTTCAACGTTTTTGTATAAAATTTTTCGACGTTTTTCAACGGCTTTAGACGTTTTCAACGGTTTTAGAAGTTTTCAACGATTTTAGAAGTTTTTCGACATTTTCAACGCTTTTGAATATTTTTCAACGTTTCTTGTAACATTTTTAGACGTTTTTCGACATTTTACAACATTTTTCAATGTTTTTCAACGTTTTTATAACATTTTTAGACGTTTTCCAACGTTTTTTATAACATTTTTTTACGTTTTTTTCAACGATTTTAGACATTTTTCGACGTTTTAACGGTTGTAAATGTTTTTCAACGTTTCTTATAACATGTTTAGACTTTCGGCGTTTTTCAATGTTTTTTAACGTTTTTATAACATTTTTCGACGTTTTTAGACGTTTTTCAACGTTTCTTATAACATTTTTAGACGTTTTTCGACATTTTACAACATTTTTCAATGTTTTTCAACGTTTTTATAACATTTTTAGACGTTTTTTAATGTTTTCCAACGTTTTTTATAACTTTTTTTTACTTTTTTTTTTAACGGTTTTAGACGTTTTTCGACGTTTTTAACGACTTTAAATGTTTTTCAACGTTTCTTATAACATTTTTAGAATTTCGTCGCTTTCAATGTTTTTTTAACGTTTTTATAACATTTTTCGACGTATTCCAATGTTTTCAACGTTTCTTATAACATTTTTAGACTTTCGGCGTTTTCAATGTTTTTTAACGTTTTTATAACATTTTTCGACGTTGTTAGACGTTTTCCAATGTTTTTATAATATTTTCGACGTTTTTAGACGTTTTCCAATGTTTTTCAACGTTTTTTATAACATTTTTCGACGTTTTTCAATGTTTTTTCAACGGTTTTAGACGTTTTCCAATGTTTTTCAACGTTTTTTATAACATTTTTCGACGTTTTTCAATGTTGTTTTAACGGTTTTAGACGTTTTCAACGTTTCTGAATGTTCTTCAACGTTTCTTATAACATTTTTAGACGTTTTTCAACGTTTTTCGACATTTTCCCTCATTTTTAAACTTCGAAAAGCGTTGAAAAAGCGTTGAAAAAAGCGTTGAAAAATCTTGAAAAACGTCGAAAAAAGTCTAAAAATGTTATAAAAAACATTGAAAAACGTTTAAAAATGTTATAAAAACGTTGAGAAACGTCTAAAACCGTTAAAAAAACGTTGAAAAACATTGGAAAACGTCGAAAAACGTTTAAAAACGTCTGAAGCTCTTGAAAAACGTTATGTTATATATATATTTCTTGTTTTTTTCTTTCTCTCTATGAGAAAATAGCAAACTCGATTTGTAATGGCATCAGTACGATTTTGAAGTCGTTTTTTTTTATAAATGACTTCAATAACTTGTTAATGGTAATGTTTAATAGTTTCGTTTTGTTTTTATTTGAGTATCTACCTTTCAAACTGAATTCTACATCAGCGGCATCGCTCCTCTCGATCAGCAATTAGTTTTACTTGGTTTTCCCAAAGAGTTGGACGAAAATCAAAAATCTCTACGTCCTCAACTGTATATAGTAGAATATAGGGATAACGACTATACGGATATATGTACTGACAGTCTTTCTTTGCGAGGATACGAGGAATACGGTGTTAACGATTATCATTTGGATGTTCTATTGGAGGAAAGCCGATTTTTCATAGTGGCGCCGAAAGATGTCGTAGTTGCCAGTCCGTACGATTTGGACGATAGGATACAATGGTTTATACAGCACAAGTAAGTGAAGAAAAAGTGCTGAAATGTTATATTAGAGGGTTTTAAAGATAATTTATATATATATATATATATATATATATATATATATTTTTTTTTTTAGTAAATTTGATGACGCGTTAGACATTCTTATGCAAAACAGCACTAGAGACATCCAGAGGCATACCGTCCAATCCGTAGGAATAGATTATCTGGATCATTTGCTCAGTAGAGGAATGTACGACAATGCCGGTAGGTTGGGATTGAGAATTTTTGGACAAAATCCGGCATTATGGGAAGATCAGATTTATAAATTTGCCAGCGTTCATCAATTAAGGTAAATAACGATGCATTTTTTTTTTACTTTTGGTTTTCATAAAAATGAAATATTTTTAAGTTTACTTGAGTAAACTTAAGTAAACTTGAGTAAATGTGATTAAACTTAAGTAAACTTGGGTAAACTTAAACGTTTTTCAACGTTTTTTAAACATTTTTAGACATTTTTCGACGTTTTCCAACGTTTCCAATGTTTTTCAAAGGTTTTTATAACATTTTTAGACGTTTCAACGGTTCTTTACGGTTTTAGACGTTTTCCGACATTTTTCAACGTTTTTCGATGTTTTCAACGTTTTTATGTCTTTTTTAGACGTTTTTCAATGTTTTTCAACGGTTTTTTTACGCTTTCAACGGTTTTAAAAGTTTTCAAGTTTTTTTGACGTTTTTCAACGTTTTTTTTTTTATAAACAATTTTAGACGTTTTTCAACGTATTTTATAACATTTTTAGACGTTTTCCAACATTTTTAAACTCTTTTAACGGTTTTAGACGTTTACAAGTTTTTTTTTTACGTTTTTCAACGTTTTTCGATGTTTTCAACGTTTTTATGTCTTTTTTAGACATTTTTCAATGGTTTTCAACGGTTTTTTTTACGCTTTTAACGGTTTTAAAAGTTTTCAAGTTTTTTTGACGTTTTTCAACGTTTTTTAATGTTTTCAACGTTTTTCAACGGTTTTAGACGTTTTTCGATGTTTTTCAACATTTTTTATAATATTTTTAGACATTTTCCAACGTTATTCTACGTTTTTTTAAATAACGTTTTTCAACGTTTTTTGATTACATTCTTAGACGTTTTTCAATGTTTTCAATGTTTTTCAAAGGTTTTTATAACATTTTTAGACGTTTCAACGGTTCTTTACGGTTTTAGACGTTTTCCGACATTTTTCAACGTTTTTCGATGTTTTCAACGTTTTTATGTCTTTTTTAGACGTTTTTCAATGTTTTTCAACGGTTTTTTTACGCTTTCAACGGTTTTAAAAGTTTTCAAGTTTTTTTGACGTTTTTCAACGTTTTTTTTTTTATAAACAATTTTAGACGTTTTTCAACGTATTTTATAACATTTTTAGACGTTTTCCAACATTTTTAAACGCTTTTAACGGTTTTAGACGTTTACAAGTTTTTTTTTACGTTTTTCAACGTTTTTCGATGTTTTCAACGTTTTTATGTCTTTTTTAGACATTTTTCAATGGTTTTCAACGGTTTTTTTACGCTTTTAACGGTTTTAAAAGTTTTCAAGTTTTTTTGACGTTTTTCAACGTTTTTTAATGTTTTCAACGTTTTTTTTTATAAACAATTTTAGACGTTTTCCAACGTATTTTATAACATTTTTAGACGTTTTCCAACATTTTTAAACGTTTTTTAACGGTTTTAGACGTTTACAAGTTTTTTTTTACGTTTTTCGATGTTTTCAACGTTTTTATGTCTTTAGACGTTTTTCAATGTTTTTCAACGGTTTTTTTTACGCTTTCAACGGTTTTAAAAGTTTTCAAGTTTTTTTGACGTTTTTCAACGTTTTTTAATGTTTTCAACGGTTTTTTTTTATAAACAATTTTAGACGTTTTTCAACGTATTTTATAACATTTTTAGACGTTTTCCAACATTTTTAAACGTTTTTTAACGCTTTTAATGGTTTTAGACGTTTACAAGTTTTTTTTTACGTTTTTCAACGTTTTTTTTAAAAACAATTTTAGACATTTTTCATGGGTTTTCGACGTTTTTCATTGTTTCGACCGTTTTTCAAAATTTTTTTAACGGTTGTAGACGTTTTTGAACGTTTTTCAACGGTTTTTTTTTAACAGTTTTAAACGTTTTTCAACGGTTTTAGACGTTTTTCGATGTTTTTCAACATTTTTTATAATATTTTTAGACATTTTCCAACGTTATTCTACGTTTTTTTAAATAACGTTTTTCAACGTTTTTTGATTACATTCTTAGACGTTTTTCAATGTTTTGAACGTTTTCAACATTTTTTTTTCAACGGTTTTTCAACGTTTTTTTTTTTTTTAGCAGTTTTAAACGTTTTTCGATGTTTTTCAACATTTTTTATAATATTTTTTCAACGTTTTTATGTCTTTAGACGTTTTTCAATGTTTTTCAACGGTTTTTTTACGCTTTCAACGGTTTTAAAAGTTTTCAAGTTTTTTTGACGTTTTTCAACGTTTTTTAATGTTTTCAACGTTTTTTTTTTATAAACAATTTTAGACGTTTTTCAGCGTATTTTATAACATTTTTAGACGTTTTCCAACATTTTTAAACGTTTTTTAACGCTTTTAATGGTTTTAGACGTTTACAAGTTTTTTTTTACGTTTTTTCAACGTTTTTTTAAAAACAATTTTAGACATTTTTCATGGGTTTTCGACGTTTTTCATTGTTTCGACCGTTTTTCAAAATTTTTTTAACGGTTGTAGACGTTTTTGAACGTTTTTCAACGGTTTTTTTAACAGTTTTAAACGTTTTTCAACGGTTTTAGACGTTTTTCGATGTTTTTCAACATTTTTTATAATATTTTTAGACATTTTCCAACGTTATTCTACGTTTTTTTAAATAACGTTTTTCAACGTTTTTTGATTACATTCTTAGACGTTTTTCAATGTTTTGAACGTTTTCAACATTTTTTTTTCAACGGTTTTTCAACGTTTTTTTTTTTTAGCAGTTTTAAACGTTTTTCGATGTTTTTCAACATTTTTTATAATATTTTTTCAACGTTTTCAACGTTATTCTACGTTTTTTTATAACATTTTTAGACGTTTTTCAATGTTTTTCAACGTTTTTTGATAACATTCTTAGACGTTTTTCAATGTTTTGAACGTTTTCAACATTTTTTAACGGTTTTAAACGTTTTCGAATGTTTTTTAAAAGTTTTTTTTAGCAGTTTTAAACGTTTTTCAACGGTTTTAGACGTTTTCGATGTTTTTCAACATTTTTTATAATATTTTTTCTTGATTTTTATTGTTTATTTATTGTTTTTTTTTTCTTGTTTTTTTTCTAATCTATCTTGTTTATTTTTCAAGTTTTTCTTTTTTGTTTTTTCTTGGTTTTCTTATTTTTTCTTGTTTTTTCTTTTCATTCTTGTTTTTCTTTGTTTGTTTTCTTTCTTTTTTGTTGTTTTTTTGTTTTTCATGTATTTTCTTATTTTTCTTATAATCTTTCTTGTTTATTTATTTATTTTTTCTTGTTTTTCTTATTTTTCTTATTTTTTGGTTTTTTCTTTTCTTGGTTTTTTGTTTTTTTTTTTCTTGTTTTTTCTTGTTTTTTTCTTGTTTTTTTCTTGTTTTTTCTTGTTTTTTTCTTGTTTTTTCTTGTTTTTTTTTTGTTTTTTGTTTTTGTGTTTCTTGTTTTTTCTTTCGATTTTTTGTTTTTTCTTTCGTTTTTTTTTCTTGTTTTTTTCTTGTTTTCTATTTATTTATTGTTTTTTTCTTGTTTTTTGTTTTTTATTGTTTATTTATTGTTTTTTTTTTTTATTTTTTTTTTTATTTTTTTTTTCTAATCTTTCTTGTTTATTTTTCGTTCTTAATTTTTCTTGATTTTCTTTTATTTTTTCTTTCTTGGTTTTCCTATTTTTTTCTTGTTCTTTAATCTTTCTTGTTTATTTTTCTTTATTTTTCTTCTTTTCTTGTTTTTTGTTTATTTTCTTTTCTTTCTTGTTTTTTCTATTTGTTTTCTTTCTTGTTTTTTCTATTTGTTTTCTTTCTTGTTTTTTCTATTTGTTTTCTTTCTTGTTTCTTGTTTTTTTTGTTGTTTCTTGTTTTTCATGTTGGTTTTTATTTTTTTTTTCTTTTTTCTTTTCTTGTTTTTTCTTTTCTTGTTTTTTTCTTTTCTTGTTTTTTTCTTTTCTTGTTTTTTCTATTTGTTTTCTTTCTTGTTTCTTGTTTTTTTGTTGTTTCTTGTTTTTCATGTTTTTTCTTATTTTTTTTTTCTTGTTTTTCTTTTCTTGGTTTTTCTTCTTTTCTTAGTTTTTTTCTTGTTTTTTTTCTTTTTTTTTTGTTTTTCTTGTTTTTTTCTTTCTTATTTGTTTTTCTTGTTTTTTGTTTTTCTTCTTTTTTCTTTCTTTTTTGTTTTTCTTGTTTTTTCTTTCGATTTTTTCTTGTTTTTTCTTTCGATTTTTTCTTGTTTTTTGCTTCTTGTTTATTTTTCTTTCTTGTTTTTTCTTTGTTTTTTCTCTCTTTTCTTCTTGCCTTTTCGTTCTTGTTTTTTTAACGTAAACTTACTTAAGTAAACTTACTTACTTAAGTAAACTTACTTAAGTACAATATATCTTTCTAGATCCGTCAGTCCATACATTCCACGTACTCTCGAGTCAAAACTCAACCCGCACATTTACGAAATGATCCTCTACGAGTACCTGAAACTCGAAGCTCAAGGATTTTTAAATTTAGTCAAAGAATGGAACTCGGGTCTCTATAACATAGCAGCCGTAATCAATGCCGTTTTAGAGCATTTACTTAACTGCGAAGTAGACAAAAACTTATATTTAGAAGCGTTGGCCATTTTGTACAGTTACGAAAAGAAATACGACAAAAGTTTGTCGATGTATTTGAAGTAAGTGGTTTATTTTAGTAAACTTAGGTACATTTAAGTAAACTTAAACTTAAGTAAACTTAAGTAAACTTAAGTAAGCTTAAGTAAACTTAGGTAAACTTAGGTAAACTTAGGTAAACTTAGGTAAACTTAGGTAAACTTAGGTAAACTTAGGTAAACTTAGGTAAACTTAGGTAAACTTAGGTAAACTTAGGTAAACTTAGGTAAACTTAGGTAAACTTAGGTAAACTTAGGTAAACTTAGGTAAACTTAGGCAAACTTAGGTAAACTTAGGTAAACTTAGGTAAACTTGAGTAAATTTGAGTAAACTTGAGTAAACTTGAGTAAACTTGAGTAAACTTGAGTAAACTTGAGTAAACTTGAGTAAACTTGAGTAAACTTGAGTAAACTTGGGTAAACTTAGGTAAACTTGAGTAAATTTAAGTAAACTTGAGTAAACTTGAGTAAACTTGAGTAAACTTGAGTAAACTTGAGTAAACTTGAGTAAACTTGAGTAAACTTGAGTAAACTTGAGTAAACTTGAGTAAACTTGAGTAAACTTGAGTAAACTTGAATAAACTTGAGTAAACTTGAGTAAACTTAAGTAAATGTGTTGTTTTTAGGTTAGAACATAAAGATGTGTTTACTCTTATTCAAAAACATAATTTGTATAGCGTTATTCATGATATGCTGTTGGATTTAATGGATTTGGATTATAAACAAACGATAGTTTTACTATTACAAAAAAATACAATATCGTCGGATAAAATCGTCGAAAAATTAAGATGGAATGAATTGCATCTTTATAGGGTAATAAAAATTCTATTAAAAAAAATTTGGACCATTTTAATCTTGATATTTTCTTTTTTAGTATTTAGATGAATATGATAAAAAGAACCCCAAAGGGAAATACCATAAAGATCTCGTAAGACTTTACGCGGTGTTCGCTAGAGAAAAATTGCTGTCGTTTTTGAAAAAATCGGATCATTATCCTATTCAAGAGGCTTTAGATATATGTCAAAAGCAGAAATATTATCCCGAAATGGTGTACTTACTCGGTAAGTTTGAAATGTTATAAATTTAGTGTAGGACTTAATTTCTCAACGTCCAAGGTTGCCTCGAGTCAATAGACTCATTATTTCGGAAATCAGTGAAAATCTATTTCGCCGACTAAATTTCTCAACATTCAAGGTTGTCTCGAGTCAATAGAACCTTCGCTAATCCGGCAATCAAAAAATTCTTTCATTCGCTATATTCTGTTTAAAAACTTTTGTTTATTGTTTTTTGTTTATTTTATTCTATTTTTACTTTAATTTATTACAATTTTCTATAAAAATTCAAATAATTATGGTAATCTAAAGATTAACTAATTTTAGTACAAAAATATAAATTAAAATAAAATTTTAAACCAACTTTTTTGAAAAATTTAAAGGTTGACTTTCGATTTTTATTATAAAAAAGTATTATATATAAATCATTTTGAAAATATTTGATGTAACAACCATTGAATGTAAAACATGAAAAAAATTTAATAGATTAAAAAAATTTGTATAAAAAAATATATAAAAATTCAAAAAATCTAATGAAATATATTTTTTGTATCGAAAATTAATCGAAATATCCTGCTGAAACGTCTCTGGAATTACTGAGTGGCCAGTTTAGTAATATTGTAGTCTGGTTTTAATGACATAACTTAAAGTCGATATAATAATTAGTTTTCGAATTTTATAACGAATTTTTAAAAATTTCAAATTGGGAAATCAATTTTTTATTTTTTTTAAACTTTAAATTTATGTAAAATTAAGTTTAAGTGTAAACCTAAACTCAACTAAACGTTAGTAAATTTTAGTAAACTTTAGTAAACTTTAGTAAACTTTAAACTTTAGTAAATTTTAGTAAACAACTTTAGTAAACAACTTTAGTAAACAACTTTAGTAAACAACTTTAGTAAACAACTTTAGTAAACAACTTTAGTAAACAACTTTAGTAAACAACTTTAGTAAACAACTTTAGTAAACAACTTTAGTAAACAACTTTAGTAAACAACTTTAGTAAACAACTTTAGTAAACAACTTTAGTAAACAACTTTAGTAAACAACTTTAGTAAACAACTTTAGTAAACAACTTTAGTAAACAACTTTAGTAAACAACTTTAGTAAACAACTTTAGTAAACAACTTTAGTAAACAACTTTAGTAAACAACTTTAGTAAACAACTTTAGTAAACAACTTTAGTAAACAACTTTAGTAAACAACTTTAGTAAACAACTTTAGTAAACAACTTTAGTAAACAACTTTAGTAAACAACTTTAGTAAACAACTTTAGTAAACAACTTTAGTAAACAACTTTAGTAAACAACTTTAGTAAACAACTTTAGTAAACAACTTTAGTAAACAACTTTAGTAAACAACTTTAGTAAACAACTTTAGTAAACAACTTTAGTAAACAACTTTAGTAAACAACTTTAGTAAACAACTTTAGTAAACAACTTTAGTAAACAACTTTAGTAAACAACTTTAGTAAACAACTTTAGTAAACAACTTTAGTAAACAACTTTAGTAAACAACTTTAGTAAACAACTTTAGTAAACAACTTTAGTAAACAACTTTAGTAAACAACTTTAGTAAACAACTTTAGTAAACAACTTTAGTAAACAACTTTAGTAAACAACTTTAGTAAACAACTTTAGTAAACAACTTTAGTAAACAACTTTAGTAAACTTTAGTAAACTTTAGTAAACTTTAGTAAACTTTAGTACACTTTAGTAAACTTTAGTAAACTAAACTTAAACTTGAGTAAACTTAAACTTGAGTAAACTTAAACTTAAGTAAATTTGAGTAAACTTGAGTAAAAAAAATTGGCATAACTTAGTCCATAAAAATTTAACTTCTAAGTATTTTGAAAAAAAAATTTGACGAATTTTTTGAAAAATTTTATGAATGGATACTTTCGAAAAAATCGGGATTGAATTTTTTTAAACATTTCATGTTCTAAAACTCCCATAAATCAATTTGTTTTATTTTTTTTATTTTTTTATTTTTTTTTAAACTTTAAACCTAAGTAAACTTAAATAAACTTCTTCTCTTTTTTGTTTTTTTCTTGTTCTTTGTTATTTTTGTGTTTCTTGTTTTTTCTTTCGATTTTTTTTGTTTTTTTTTTTCTTTCTTGTTTTCTTGCTTTTACTTTCTAGTTTTTTCTTTTTTTTTTTTTTTTTCTTTTTTTCTGTTTTTCTTGTATTTTTCTTGTCTTTTTGTTTTATTGTTTTTTTTTTTTTTTCGTTTTTTCTGCCTTTTTTTTGTTTTTTCTCTTTCTATTATTTTTTCTTAAACTTAAATAAACTTTTTTTCTTTTTTGTTTTTTCTTTTCTTTTTTGTTTTTTCTTTGTTTTCTTTCTTATTTTTTTGTTGTTTCTTGTTTTTCATCTTTATATATTTTTTTTCTAATATTGCTTGTTTATTTTTCTTTTTTTTTTCTTGGTCTTTTCTTTTCTTGTTTTTTCTTTCGATTTTTTTGTTATTTTCTTGTTGTTTTTTTTTTCGTTTTTTTTTTCTTCTTGTTTTCTTGCTTTTACTTTCTAGTTTTTTGTTTTTTTTGTTTTTCTTGTCTTTTTGTTTTATTGTTTTTTTTGCGTTTTTATCTTTTTCTTTATTTTTCCTTCCTTTTTTTTTTCTTTTTTTGTTCGTTATTTCTGCTTTGTTTGGTTTTTCTCTTTCTGTTTTTTCTTTTTTTTTTTCCCTTTTTTCTTTCTTTTGTTTTTTATTTTATTTTTTTTCTAGTTTTTCTTTTCTTTTTCTTTGGTTTTTGTTTTCCTTTTTTTTTCTTTTCTGTTTTTTTCTTGTTTTTTTCTTGTTTTTTCTTGTTTTTTCTTATTTTTTCTTATTTTTTCTTGTTTTTTCTGGTTTTTTCTTGTTTTTTCTTTTTTTTTTCTTTTTTATTGTTTTTCTTTTGTTAACTTAAGTTAACTTAAACTTGAGTAAACAAGAGTACAGTAAACTTAAGTAAACTTGAGTAAACTTCAGTAAACTTTACTTCATTTGTTGGTTTTCATGGAGTATCATTATAATTTAAGCTAGGTGATTTTTTTTTTCGAGATGATCTGCAAATGTTTTTTTTTTGTTTTTTTTCTTCGTTTTATTCCTTCGTTTTTTTTGTATTTTTGTTTTTCGTATTTGTTTTGTATTTTATTTTGTATTTTTTTTGTATTTTTTTTGTATTTTTTTTGTATTTTTTTGTATGTCTTTGTATTTTTTGTTTTTCGTATTTGTTTTGTATTTTTTGTATTTTTTTGTATTTTTTGTATTTTTTTGTATGTCTGTATTTTTTGTATTTTTTTGTATTTTTTTGTATTTGTTTATATTTTTTGTATTTTTTTGTTTGTATACCAAAATATGTTGGGAACCTATGCAGCCCAAAGTCTACTGTTATAAAGGGTATTTTTAACACGATACCTTCCTATTGACCACTTGTCCCTTGACGTGGATTACGTAACATTTTCAAGAAACTATATACACGCCAGAGTCGGCTTTAAAATTTACACAGGCAGTGTTGGCTTTGAGATTTTTATGTTTGAATTCAAATATATTTTGGTAAACTTTAGTAAACTTTAGTAAACTTTAGTAAACTTAAGTAACAACATATCTTTCTAGATCCGTTAGTCTATACATTCCACGTACTCTCGAGTCAAAACTTAAACCGCATATTTACAAAATAATACTTTATGAGTACCTAAAACTTAAGTTAACTTAAGTAAACTTAGTAAGTAACAACATATCTTTCCAGATCCGTTAGTCCATATATTTCACGTACTCTCGATTCAAAACGAGTCAAAACTTACGAAATGATACTGTACGAGTACCTAAAATTCAAGCAAACTTAAGTAAACTTAGGTAGACTTGAGTAAACTTAAACTTAAGTAAACTTAACTTAAGTAAATTTAAATAAACTTTTTTCTCTTTTTGTTCGCTATTTCTGCTTTTTTTGGTTTTTTCTCTTTCTATTGTTTTTTCTTTTTTTTTCCCCTTTTTTCTTTTGTTTTTTATTTTATTTTTTTTCTAGTTTTTCTTTTTTCTTTTCTTTGGTTTTTGTTTTCCTTTTTTTTTTTTCTTTTCTCTTTTTTCTTGTTTTTTTCTTCTTTTTTCTTGTTTTTTCTTGTTTTTTTTTTCCTGTTTTTTCTTGTTTTTTCTTATTTTTTCTTGTTTTTTCTTGTTTTTTCTTGTTTTTTCTTGTTTTTTCTTGTTTTTTTCTTGTTTTTCTTTTGTTAACTTAAGTAAACTTAAACTTGAGTAAACAAGAGTAAACTAGAGTACAGTAAACTTAAGTAAACTTGAGTAAACTTCAGTAAACTTTACTTCATTTGTTGGTTTTCATGGAATATCATTATAATTTAAGCTAGGTGATTTTTTTTTCGAGATGATCTGCAAATGTTTTTTTTTTGTTTGTTTCTTCGTTTTATTCCTTCGTTTTTTTTGTATTTTTGTTTTTCGTATTTGTTTTGTATTTTTTTTTGTATTTTTTTGTATGTCTGTTTTTTTTTGTTTTTTGTTTTTTTTTGTTTTTTTTTGTTTTTTTTTTGTTTTTTTTTGTTTTTTTTGTATTTATTTATATTTTTTGTATTTTTTTTATATTTTTGTTTGCATACCAAAATATGTTGGGAACCTATGCAGCCCAAAGTCTACTGTTATAAAGGGTATTTTTAACACGATACCTTCCTATTGAACACTTGTCCCTTGACGTGAATTACGTAACATTTTCAAGGAAATATATACACGCCAGAGTCGGCTTTAAAATTTACACGGGCAGTGTTGGCTTTGAGATTTTTATGTTTGAATTCAAATCTATTTTGGTAAACTTTAGTAAACTTTAGTAAACTTTAGTAAACTTTAGTAAACTTTAGTAAACTTTAGTAAACTTTAGTAAACTTTAGTAAACTTTAGTAAACTTTAGTAAACTTTAGTAAACTTTAGTAAACTTTAGTAAACTTTAGTAAACTTTAGTAAACTTTAGTAAACTTTAGTAAACTTTAGTAAACTTTAGTAAACTTTAGTAAACTTTAGTAAACTTTAGTAAACTTTAGTAAACTTTAGTAAACTTTAGTAAACTTTAGTAAACTTTAGTAAACTTTAGTAAACTTTAGTAAACTTTAGTAAACTTTAGTAAACTTTAGTAAACTTTAGTAAACTTTAGTAAACTTTAGTAAACTTTAGTAAACTTTAGTAAACTTTAGTAAACTTTAGTAAACTTTAGTAAACTTTAGTAAACTTTAGTAAACTTTAGTAAACTTTAGTAAACTTTAGTAAACTTTAGTAAACTTTAGTAAACTTTAGTAAACTTTAGTAAACTTTAGTAAACTTTAAACTTTAGTAAACTTTAGTAAACTTTAGTAAACTTTAGTAAACTTTTGTAAACTTTTGTAAACTTTTGTAAACTTTTGTAAACTTTTGTAAACTTTAGTAAACTTTAGTAAACTTTAGTAAACTTTAGTAAACTTTAGTAAACTTTAGTAAACTTTAGTAAACTTTAGTAAACTTTAGTAAACTTTTGTAAACTTTAGTAAACTTTAGTAAACTTTTGTAAACTTTTGTAAACTTTTGTAAACTTTTGTAAACTTTTGTAAACTTTTGTAAACTTTTGTAAACTTTTGTAAACTTTAGTAAACTTTAGTAAACTTTAGTAAACTTTAGTAAACTTTAGTAAACTTAGTGAACTTTAGTGAACTTTAGTGAACTTTAGTAAACTTTAGTAAACTTTAGTAAACTTTAGTAAACTTTAGTAAACTTTAGTGAACTTGAGTAAACTTTAGTAAACTTTAATAAACTTTAGTAAACTTTAGTAAACTTTTGTAAACTTTTGTAAACTTTTGTAAACTTAAGTAACAACCAGTAAGCCAGTGTTGGGCTTTAAGATTTTTATGTTTGAATTCAAATCTTTTCATGTTCTGTTTTCAACAAAGGGTATTTTAAATTGTAGGTAGGATAGGAGATACCAAAGAAGCTTTAGCATTAATTATAAACGAACTGAAAGACATGCAGCATGCTATCGCTTTCTGCCAGGAACACGATGACCCCGAGCTGTGGGAAGACCTAATTAACAAATGCGTAGATATACCAGGTATGCCTGGAAACTAACACGCAATAAAATATTTATCTGTTAAATTATTATTATTTTTAGAATTCGTGACGTTTTTTATTACAAAGCATAGGCACATTCGTGGATCCCACTATGTTGATACTAAAAATCAAAAAAGACACTTCGATACCGGGGTTGAAAAATTCTTTGGTTAAAATGTTGAATCAATACAATCTACAGGTAATAATTACAGCAAAAAAAAAATTCTTTAACTATTTATTTGTATTTTTTTTTTAGGTTTCAGTGCAAGAGGGATGTAAAAAAATTTTAGTATCGGATTATTTTAACTTGCAGAAAAAGTTGGTTAAAGTGCATCAAAAGGGACACGTTTTGAATGATGAAGCGGTTTGCGGGGCTTGTCATAGGAAGATAATTGAAAGAGGTATTTAAATTTTGTTAAGTTTATATTTTTTTACAGGTTTTGTAGATAGTAGACCTGCCGGTTACTATTCATGCTTGACGTTGAACTAAGCTGGTAGTCCAAACAAAAATAGTTCCAAGAAGGAGTAAAATAATAGTTTTCTCATAAATAAAAACAAATAAAAACAAATTTAAACAAATTTAAACGAATGTAAATAAATAAAAACAAATAAAAACAGAAACAAATTTAAAGAAATTTAAACAAATAAAAATAAATAAAAACAAAACAAATTTAAACAAATTTAAACAAATTTAAACAAATTTAAAACCATTTAAACAAATTTAAACACATTTAAACAAATAAAATCAAATTTAAACAAATTCAAACAAATTTTAATCAAATTTAAAACCATTTAAACAAATTTAAACACATTTAAACAAATTTAATTAAATTTAAACAAATAAAAATAAATAAAATTAAATTTAAACAAATTTAAACGAATTTAAAACGAATTTAAACGAATTTAAACGAATTCAAACGAATTTAAACGAATTTAAACGAATGTGAACGAGTGTAAACAAATTTAAATGAATTTAAACAAATTTAAATAAATAAAAACAAATAAAATCAAATTCAAACAAATTTAAACAAATTCAAACAAATTTAATCAAATTTAAAACCATTTAAACACATTTAAACAAATTTAAAAAAATTTTAACAAATTTGAAAACATTTAAACAAATAAAAATAAATAAAAATAAATAAAAATAAATAAAAACAAATAAAATCAAATTTAAACGAATTTAAACGAATTTAAAAAAATTTAAAAGAATTTAAACGAATGTAAACGAATGTAAACGAGTGTAAACGAATTTAAACAAATTTAAATAAATTTAAATAAATAAAAACAAACAAAATCAAATTTAAACAAATAAAAACACATTTAAACAAATAAAATCAAATTTAAACAAATTTAATCAAATTTAAAACCATTTAAACACATTTAAACAAATAAAAATAAATAAAAACAAATAAAATGAAATTTAAAAGAATTTAAACGAATTTAAACAAATTTAAACAAATTTAAACAAATAAAATCAAATTTAAACAAATTTAAACAAATTTAATCAAATTTAAACAAATTTAAACGAATTTAAAGAATGTAAACAAACTAATTAAAACAATTAAAAACAATTAATTAAAAGCATTTAAAAACAAATAAAATCAAATTTAAACAAATTTAAACATAATTAAACACATTTAAACAAATAAAATCAAATTTAAACAAACTTAAACAAATTTAAACACATTTAAACAAATAAAATCAAATAAAATCAAATAAAAACAAATAAAAATAAATAAAAACAAATAAAAACAAACTAATTAAAACAATTAAAAACAATTAATTAAAAGCATTTAAAAACATATAAAATCAAATTTAAACACATTTAAACAAATAAAATCAAATAAAAACAAATAAAAATAAATAAAAACAAATAAAAACAAACTAATTAAAACAATTAAAAACAATTAATTAAAAGCATTTAAAAACAAATAAAATCAAATTTAAACAAATTTAAACATAATTAAACACATTTAAAACAAATTTAAACAAATAAATATATATAAAAATAAATAAAAACAAATAAAAACAAACTAATTAAAACAATTAAAAACAATTAATTAAAAGAATTTAAAAACAAATAAAATCAAATTTAAACAATGAAAAACTATGAGAAACAATTAAAAACAATTTGAAACAATGAAAAACATTGAAGAACAATGAAAAACAATTTAAAACAATGAAAAACAATGAAAAACGATGAAAAACGATGAAAACCGATGAAAACCGATGAAAAACAATGAAGAACAATGAAAAGCAGAGAAAAACAATGAAAATCAATTTAAAACAAAAATATATAAAAATATATAAAAATATATAAAAATATATAAAAATATGTAAAAATATGTAAAAAAATATAAAAATAAATAGAAACAATTAAAAACGAAAACAAAATATATTAATATATATTAAAGTATATTAAAATATATTAAAATATATTAAAATATATTAAAATATATTAAAATATATTAAAATATATTAAAATATATTAAAATATATTAAAATATATTAAAATATATTAAAATATATTAAAATATATTAAATTATATTAAAATATATTAAAATATATTAAAATATATTAAAATATATTAAAATATATTAAAATATATTAAAATATATTAAAATATATTAAAATATATTAAAATATATTAAAATATATTAAAATATATTAAAATATATTAAAATATATTAAAATATATTAAAATATATTAAAATATATTAAAATATATTAAAATATATTAAAATATATTAAAATATATTAAAATATATTAAAATATTAAAATATATTAAAATATATTAAAATATATTAAAATATATTAAAATATATTAAAATGTATTAAAATATATTAAAAATAAATAAAAATTGATAAAAACGCTTGTATTTCAAATTTGATTGGCTAGGTTTTGTAACTATATAAATTACTTAATTGAATCACCTGAATGGGAGGCATTTTGATAATAGAGAGATGAAAGATATTTACATAATTCACGTTATATTTGAGAGTGTAAATGTTTTTAACTTTCTTTACGTTTTAAAAGGTGGATATAATTGATAGTCTAATTTTTATTCATAATTTTAATATTTTAATTCTTTGTGGTAAAAAAATTAAATGAAATTTGTTTCAGATCCGTCGAGAACTGCCAATATTGCCGTTTTTAATTGTAAACACGCTTTTCATGTCCAGTGTATACCGGAAAATCGGACTCGTTGTGGAATTTGTTATGCTACAGAACAAAAATAGGTAAGGATTTAAGCAAAAAACAGTCAAAAAAACAGTAAAAACCGTAAAAACAGTAAAAACCGTAAACACAGTGATAAACAGCAAAAAACAGTAAAAAAACGGTAAAAAACAGTAGAAAACAATCAACAAACAGTATAAAAAAAAAACAGTAAAAACCGTCAACACAGTAATAAACAGCAAAAAACCGCAAAAAAACAGCAAAACAACAATAAAGAACAATAAACAAACAAAGTAAGCAAAAAAAAAAAGTAAACAAAAAACAGTAAAACAAAACAGTAAAATACAGTAAAAAAAATAGTAAAGAATAGTAAAAAACAATAATAAAGAAAACAGTTAACAAATTAACAAAAAACAGTAATAAAAAACTGTAAACAGGAAAACAAAACAGTAAAATAAAACAGTAAAACAAAACAGTAAAAAAAATAGTAAAGAACAGTAGTAAAGAAAACAGTAAACCAAAAAAAAAAGAGTAAAGAAAGTAAAATAAAACAGTAAAAACAGTGAAATAAAACAGTAAAAAACAGTAAAAAAAATCGTAAAAATTGTAATAAAACAGTAAAAAAATACAGTAATACAAAACAGTAAAATACAGCAAAAAAACAGTTAACAAAAACGGTAAACAAAAAAGAGTAACCAAAAAACAGTAAACAAAAACGGTAAACAAAAAAGAGTAACCAAAAAATAGTAAACAAAACACAGTAAACAGAAAAACAAAACAGTAAAAAATAAACAGTAAAAATCAATAACAAAAAGTTAATAATAAAAAAACTAAAATGAAACTAAAAATTTAAAAAACTGTTAAAAAAAACTGTAGAAAAACTAAAAAAAAAACAATAAAAACAGTACAAGTGTGGTAAAGAAACAATAAAAAAACTAAGAAAGTAAACAATAAAAACAATACAAAAATAGTAAAAAAAAAACAGTAAAAAACACAAAAAAACACTACACTTTTTTTTGTTTTTTTTTTGTAGAGGGGAAACCGCTTGGCACCAAATACTGGATCAATGTGTTTGGTAGTGTCAGGCGCAACTCCGACAAAAACCCCTCCACTGTCCTTCCGTGATCTACTAGGAACTGCCTTTCAGCATTGTTCCCAGTAGAATGGTCTCTCTCCTCTCTCTCTCTCTCATGGTCTCTCTCCTCTCTCTCTCTCTCTCTCTCTCTCTCTCTCTCTCTCTCTCTCTCTCTCTCTCTCTCTCTCTCTCTCCTCTCTCTCTCTCTCTCTCTCTCTCTCTCTCTCTCTCTCTCTCTCTCTCTCTCTCTCTCTCTCTCTCTCTCTCTCTCTCTCTCTCTCTCTCTCTCTCTCTCTCTCTCTCTCTCTCTCTCTCTCTCTCTCTCTCTCTCTCTCTCTCTCTCTCTCTCTCTCTCTCTCTCTCTCTCTCTCTCTCTCTGTCTGTCTGTCTGTCTGTCTGTCTGTCTGTCTGTCTGTCTGTCTGTCTGTCTGTCTGTCTGTCTATGTCTGTCTATGTGTCTGTCTGTCTGTCTATGTGTCTGTCTGTCTATGTCTCTGTCTGTATGTCTGTCTCTGTCTGTCTCTCCGTCTGTCTGTCTCTCTGTCTGTCTCTGTCTGTCTGTCTCTGTCTGTCTGTCTCTGTCTGTCTGTCTCTGTCTGTCTGTCTGTCTGTCTGTCTGTCTGTCTGTCTGTCTGTCTGTCTGTCTGTCTGTCTGTCTGTCTGTCTGTCTGTCTGTCTGTCTGTCTGTCTGTCTGTCTGTCTGTCTGTCTCTAAACAATAAAAAACAGTAAAAAACAGTAAAAAAAAACAGTAAATAAAAACAGTAAAAAAAAAGTAAAGCAGTAAAAAACCAGTAAAAAAAACAATAAATACAGTAAAAAACAATAAAAATACCGTAAAAAAATAGTAAAAAGACAGTAAAAAAAAACAGTAAAAAAACATTAAAAAACAATAAAAACCAGTAAAAAAAACAATAAAAAACAGTTAAAAAAACAGTATTCAAATTTTTTTTTATTTTTTTATTATTTTTGTATTTTTTATACATTTGTAAAATTTGTTAATAAGGGGAATACGCCACGTTTTCGTTGCCCAGTTTCGCCAATTTCATGGGGCATAAACTTTGGAAGAAATTTATGGTGAACGATAAAATATTCTGCGGTTTCAACAACAAAATATTATTTAGATAGTCCGCTAAAATGTCCTTCACCTCGGGATGGTCGGAAATGAACGTTTTCATTTTCAATTCGGCTTCAGTCTGAAACAAATGTTTATTTATGTTTATTTGGTAAATAAAGAAAAATAAATTAAAATTAAAAAAAAAATGTTTCTGAAATAAAAATTTTCCTTGCAGAACAATCGTAGAAAAAATAAACAATTCTTCTTTATTTTGGTCATTGTATTATCTTATTAATGTACGTTAAAAATATTCAATTAAAAGTGTTCAAAAATGACAACGGTAAAAACAGTAAAAAAAAAACAATAATAAACAGTAAAAAACAGTAAAAAAACATTAAAAAACATTAAAAAACAATACAAAACAGTAAAAAACACAGCAAGAAAAACATTAAAAACAGTAATAAACAGTAATAAACAGTAATACACAGTAAAAATTAGTAAATAACAGTAGAAAACATTAAAAACAATAAAAACATTAAAAAACATTAAAAAAAAACGTTTAAAAAACATTAAAAACATTAAAAAAACATTAAAAAATACATTAAAAAACATTAAAAAGCATTAAAAAACATTTAAAAACATTAAAAAACATTAAAAAACATTAAAAAAAAACATTAAACATTAAAAAACAATACAAAACAGTAAAAAAACACAGCAAGAAAAACAGTAATAAACAGTAATACACAGTAATACACAGTAATAAACAGTAATACACAGTAAACATTAGTAAATAACAGTAGAAAACAGTAAATAACAGTAGAAAACATTAAAAACAATAAAAACATTAAAAAACATTAAAAAAAAACGTTTAAAAACGTTAAAAAACATTAAAAAAACATTAAAAAAAACATTAAAAAAACATTAAAAAAAACATTAAAAAATACATTAAAAAACATTAAAAAGCATTAAAAAACATTTAAAAACATTAAAAAACATTAAAAAAAAACATTAAACATTAAAAAACAATACAAAACAGTAAAAAAACAGCAAGAAAAACAGTAATAAACAGTAATACACAGTAATAAACAGTAATACACAGTAAAAATTAGTAAATAACAGTAGAAAACAGTAAATAACAGTAGAAAACATTAAAAAACAATAAAAACATTAAAAAACATTAAAAAAAAACGTTTAAAAACGTTAAAAACATTAAAAAAACATTAAAAAACATTAAAAAAACATTAAAAATACATTAAAAAACATTAAAAAGCATTAAAAAACATTTAAAAACATTAAAAAACATTAAAAAAAAAAACATTAAACATTAAAAAACAATACAAAACAGTAAAAAAACAGCAAGAAAAACAGTAATAAACAGTAATACACAGTAATAAACAGTAATACACAGTAAAAATTAGTAAATAACAGTAGAAAACAGTAAATAACAGTAGAAAACATTAAAAAACAATAAAAACATTAAAAAAAACGTTTAAAAACGTTAAAAACATTAAAAAAACATTAAAAAACATTAAAAAAACATTAAAAAATACATTAAAAAAACATTAAAAAGCATTAAAAAACATTTAAAAACATTAAAAAAACATTAAAAAAAAAACATTAAACATTAAAAAACAATACAAAACAGTAAAAAAACAGCAAGAAAAACAGTAATAAACAGTAATACACAGTAATAAACAGTAATACCCAGTAAAACTTAGTAAATAACAGTAGAAAACAGTAAATAACAGTAGAAAACATTAAAAAACAATAAAAACATTAAAAAACATTAAAAAAAAAACGTTTAAAAACGTTAAAAACATTAAAAAAACATTAAAAAACATTAAAAAAAACATTAAAAAATACATTAAAAAACATTAAAAAGCATTAAAAAACATTTAAAAACATTAAAAAACATTAAACATTAAAAAACAATACAAAACAGTAAAAAAAACACAGCAAGAAAAACAGTAATACACAGTAATACACAGTAATAAACAGTAATAAACAGTAATACACAGTAAACATTAGTAAATAACAGTAGAAAACAGTAAATAACAGTAGAAAACATTAAAAAACAATAAAAACATTAAAAAACATTAAAAAACATTAAAAAAAACGTTTAAAAACGTTAAAAACATTAAAAAAACATTAAAAAATACATTAAAAAACATTAAAAAGCATTAAAAAACATTTAAAAACATTAAAAAACATTAAAAAAAACATTAAACATTAAAAAACAATACAAAACAGTAAAAAAAAACACAGCAAGAAAAACAGTAATAAACAGTAATACACAGTAATACACAGTAATAAACAGTAATACACAGTAAACATTAGTAAATAACAGTAGAAAACAGTAAATAACAGTAGAAAACATTAAAAAACAATAAAAACATTAAAAAACATTAAAAAAAAACGTTTAAAAACGTTAAAAACATTAAAAAAAACATTAAAAAAACATTAAAAAATACATTAAAAAACATTAAAAAGCATTAAAAAACATTTAAAAACATTAAAAAACATTAAAAAACATTAAAAAACATTAAAAAAAACATTAAACATTAAAAAACAATACAAAACAGTAAAAAAAACAGCAAAAAAAACAGCAAGAAAAACAGTAATAAACAGTAATAAACAGTAATACACAGTAAAAATTAGTAAATAACAGTAGAAAACATTAAAAAACAATAAAAACATTAAAAAACATTAAAAAAAAACGTTTAAAAACATTAAAAAACATTAAAAAAACATTAAAAAATACATTAAAAAACATTAAAAAGCATTAAAAAACATTTAAAAACATTAAAAAACATTAAAAAACATTAAAAAAAAACATTAAACATTAAAAAAACAATACAAAACAGTAAAAAAACACAGCAAGAAAAACAGTAATAAACAGTAATACACAGTAATACACAGTAATAAACAGTA